TATACTATATACAACAGATACTATATGGAAAACCTAAATGTTTAGTTCTACTGTGGTTGGTGTTCTCAAAAACTCAAATATTCTTGCCAGCAATTAGGGCTTTCGCATGCAAAGCAGTCAAAGACTTAAAGCGCCATTAGTTTGCCACGTTTAATTAAATACACACAGACACATATATATATTCCTCAGTTATACATTTAAAGATTCGATATATACCTACCACATAAACGACTGTAATAATAGTTCTTGGTGTCCTATGAAGCATAGCAAAGCGTAAAGCAAGAATTTGTAAATGTTCTAATATACATTGTAAATGCAAGCAATTAAGAATAAAGCATACGAATCATATATGCGTGAAAGCAAAACCCAAAAACCAAGCCCAAGTTTATAATACCTCAAACCAGAACACACTCTCCACCCAAACCAAAGAAAAATACATATCCAAGTAACCCATTGGACGGCCTTGCAGCTTACACACTTGTTTAATGCTTACAAGTAATTATAGAAACGAGTCTAGAGTTAATCATCCGGCGGATGACTAACCAGTGTCTTTCTTTTCTCTTTCCCCGGCTTCTTGCAGATGGCTACTGGACTATTCTGGAGACGGTGCCCTATTCCATTGCGAGTGCCGCTCCAAATCAGACTCTGACCACGGCCACCACCTTGAGCAATGGTGGGTCCAGTCTGCTTACGGGCGCCACTGTGGTGGTGGAGCTGCCGCCCGACGATCTGGGCAATCCGGTGGGCAATATACAGTACACCATACCGGCGCTGACCAAAAATGCCACAACCAACACCAGTACGACCAGTTTGCTGCACAAGCCGCAGGCTACAACCATACAGATTGTGAAGCAGCAGCAGCAGCATGCCCAGCAACATCAGCCGCATCAGCAGCAGCAGCAGCAGCATCCCCAGCAACATCAGCCGCTTCAGCAGCAGCATCAGCAACCGCATCAGCTGCCGCATCAGCAGCAGCATCAGCAGCAACATCAGCATCCCCAGCAGCAGCATCGACAGCACTTGACCATCCAGCAGCCGCAGACGCATGCGCGCCAGGAGTACATCAAGATAGACACCTCCAGGCTGGAGGACAAGATGCTGCTGCGGGACGTGATGCAGTATGGGGCCACCAGCATTGCCATGGCACCGCAGAGTGCCACCACCACCACAGTGGTGTCCACACACGAGTCCACACATGGCCTGCTGCTGGCCGACGCCGATGACGCTGAGCGGGAACTCGAACTGGAGGCCATGAAGGTGGACCAGCACGATGAGGAGCATCTGCTCGACGACGAGGGCTATGTGATTGAGAAAATCCACGCTGATGGCGAGCCGGTTAATCAGCCGCAGGAGAAGCTCTACATAAACGGAATGTCCAACATCATTCACACAGCCACCACGATGACCTTGCAACCGGACGACTGCAAGTACGCGTGCAATGTGTGCGGCAAGACCTACAAGATCAAGGGATCCCTGAAGCGCCACAAGAACTACGAATGCGGCGTGGAGCCGAATCTCAAATGTCCCCATTGCCCACACAAGTGCAAGTACAGGTCGGATTTGCGCAAGCATATGAACCAGAAACATGCCGATTCCGGGGAGGCAATCCTTGGCACCTAGATCGATTAGTACTAAGATGTTTTAGCATTCGTAGTCTCTGTTTAGCACTTGTTGTTGTGAGTTAGCATATTGTGTGATGAATTCTTACGCGTATCCTATGAATTTACACGGGCGACAGATAGTTTTGGAGGTTTATAAGTTTGATGCATTTTTGTTGAACGTTCTAGTTCCTCTGAAGTATGTTACAAATCAGTTTCTGCACAAGCTAAAATACAAAATCTAGCTCAAGCGAGCCTTTGTATATAGTGCTTTAGAACCGACTTAAACACTTCTATTCGCGTTTTCAAATCTCCCAAATGTGTCTTGGCCCAGGTAGTCAGTAAACTGTTTGTACTATAGCCAAAGTTATGATCTCGAAATGTAATCTAAATACATTAAGCTAGTTGGACTGAGTATCGAAACGCGCCGTCAAGTTGAATTGCTCAAATTGTAGAATGAAATTTCGCATCAGCTCAAGCCAAGCGTAAGTCTAAGTATTTTAAACTCGAACACTATACCCTAGATGACGTTTTAAAAACAAATTACCCAAAACCATTGCGTATTTGCCATGTATGTGAAAGTGCGAATAAATAAATGTTTACAATCAAATCGAAGACGGTGTCATTAAATCAACAGCGATGCACACATTTAAATCCAACACTAATAGGATTCTCTTTTTTCTCTAGGACAAAAATCCGTGGATTGAGATCAATGTGGATGGAGGCAATTCGATGACTGGAATAACCGAAAAACCGAAAAAGGTCTATACTTTTAATTGACTCGTATAGCATTAAGTAGTCCAATCATTTATCAGCAAATAAAAATGTCAAACTAAAACCAATTTGTTGTATTCATCACCACGATCACCACCAAACTAGCAACTAGCAAACTAGTACTGAAAAATCCCTCTAATCAAGTGTGTGACTAGTGTAGCTAGCTGTATGGAAAGGCCTAAGCAATCGCATTCCCATCTCTGTTTTTCCTATCTGTCTGCAGATTTTGTCCGCCATGGCCCGAAGAATCAGCTCCTGTGCCAATGTGGCCGATACTACAACACCCTCAGCCGACTGATGCTGCACCAGCGGGAGGAGTGCCAGGATTTCAAGAGGTTCCAGTGCGACTTCTGCCTCAAGTGGTTCAAGCGACGATCCCACCTGAATCGCCATAAGAAGCTCCATGATGCCGAACTCTTCCTGGAGCCCCTGTCCAAGCAAAAGCCAAAGACGACGAGCGCACAAAATTTGTCGCTTGATCCTAATGTGGATGATGAGGTGGCCACGACCAATCCGGCGGCCACCGATGACGAATCCAACTATCCATATACGTCTGAGATCAAAATCGAGAACGAATTCGATGAATTCATTTAAGTTTTTGTTACAAAAAAAAGAAAAAGAAATTATTATAAATATTACTAGACCAGTTCTCGTTGATGCCAAAACATAAAATATACGGATTTTGTAAATAAATAGCGGAAAACAAGCAAATGTCTTGTCCTATCGAATGAGAATCTTTTTATATTAGTGCTTCAAGTTTTAAGTTGGCTTATAGCTTTCAGTTTTATTGTAAACACATGTCTGTATGTATGAATGGGACTGATTTGTTTGAATGTACTTAACTTTATGTTCCATTTCATACAGCTTTTACATCATTTCGTTTCTTAAGACTTATGATTTGTATTTTTATTTTGATTTCCTGGTACTTGTTCTCTCGTTTCAGCGATTACCGTGCAGCGGAAGTACAATCTGCGCACCCAGGACAGTTCCGGTTCCTCACCAGATCTCCCAAGCACTTCCAAGTCGAAAGTGGCTGCCATCCGGCCCAAATCAGCTGAGCCAAGCAGCTTGGAGCAGAAGAGCGAGAATGAGGAGCCCACGGACTTGGACAATGCGGCGAGTCTGAAGAAAGCCATGGCCACATCCGATGCCATGATAGCGCTGCAGCAACTGGCCTCCATTTCCACTGCCCGATCGCTGCAGCATCTCGTCCAGAACATGAGCAACATAGACAACAGTGCCCTGGTTCCGGGCCGAAAGCTGCCGCGTTACGCTGCCAAGAGGTCACCCAAATATGAGTCCAACCGCTGTCCACTCTGCTCCCGCGTCTGCCGATCCCAGGCCTTTCTAAACGAGCATATGCGCAAGGAGCACTCCGTGCTCATTTAGACACACCTTCAGTTTTACTCCATTCGGTTTCGAATATATATTCTTCATGTCCGTCTACACCATTCTATAACTACTTGGTTAATGTTTATAGGAATTAACTTAATACTGCATCCGATTTTTACTTTGAAAGCACTAAGTCAAATATTTCCACTTTACTTACTGCACCTTATTCAAATCCAATTTAATTCTAGACATTGATTTTTATCAGAACTGACAGTTTTGTATTTAACTTATTTGAGCGCATATGGTTAGCAACTTTGCTTAAAAAGAAATTCAACCAAATTCAAATGACCAAAAAACGTAAATTATAATTGTTACATACCTATTGATTAAGTGTAAACTTGGCCAATTTTTAAAAGGCATTTTTCGCACTAGAAGTTATTGGTAAAATAAAGTATCATAAGGTAGATAATAGGTAGCGGTTATTATCCATACAGTAAACGAGGTCCAATTGAAAAGTTTTTATACTTTTTGCTAATAAAAAAGAAAGCTTCATATTAAAACGAGTTAGTAGTAATCATGGTTTTTATTCTCTCCACAGTTGATGATTATTGTTTATCTTCATTTATGTATAATTTTTATATAATTTCGTTCAAGTTTTCTGTGGACTTTTATTGCTTGGGCGTTTTTCTGAACAAAGGTTGGTATATTCAGCATTTATTAATGTTTTATTTTTTAATTTACTTTTGTTTTTTTCAGTTTTATTTCTACTTTATCCGGTAATTGGCAAATGTGTTTTTAGACAAAAGGAAGCAAAAACTGGCAAGTACCCGATTATATTTCAAAGCCATTCAGGCTTTGTAATTTTGTTGTAAAAACTGCACAGGGATTCGGATAACCAGACAAGTTGATATGCATCGGCAAATACCCGAAAGGAATCATAATAATCCTTTAACCAAACAGGTTTTGCTAACAATAGTTGGGTGGTTGCTGCCCTTGAATCTGCACTGCAGTGCCAAAGGAAAATCCCAACCACACACTAACTGTACTCCAGGGTCTTTTGTCCTCGAACGAGGGATGTATCTAGTAGATACACGTTCTATACCAGCCATGCATCTCACGCTCTCGCCCACACAAATCCCGAAATGCAGTTGAAAAACATTTGCGCACACATAAATCAGGATCTATTTATTGTGTTTGTGTGTTTTTCTAAAAATAAGTTTCACATTTTCCACTGCCTGAGCCCAGTTTGCCTGCTGCCTGCCTGTATCTGTATCTATGTACATATGTATATATGTATCTGCATCTGTATCTCCGCTGGTGCGGCTTTTGCAGTCGGGCTTCCCACGTGATTTTCCCGATTTTTCCAAATTTTTCAATTTTGCCTGCTTGCCCTATCGGTCTCTCCTTTTCGGCTTTGCCTTCGCAAAGCCTGGCCCGATCAATTCGAAGTATCTACCAAATGCACAGGACACACAAGTTTTAGGGGCTGGTTTTCAAGCTATTTGTGTGGGACATTCCTGGAAAATGGTCGGTAAACCTTGATCGACAAGATAATTGTGTGTGCGTGCGTCTATAGATATTTCCCGAAGGAAGCGTCTTCAAGCTGGAGTTCTGGAAAAAACCAGCATATGTGCGTCTATTTATGACCTATCTGCTCTTAAGTTTTCTTCAGTCGTTTGCTAATGCATTTCAAATTACCTTTTTTTGAAAAGAGTATCAGGCAAAGGTTAAGCTATTTTCTATATATTTCATAGCTTTTATTCCAAGAATCAGTGTAATTACTTGATACGGAATATTAGACTAATGTTTGGTAGCCTAAAAGTTTAGTATTGTGATGAAAATTGAATGTGAAAAAGAGTTATAGCATAAAAAGAGTTAAAGCTGCTTTTGTGTAACAATTTTCCCAGGGTTGTAAATTTTTGGAATCCGGAACAAATTATATCATACATATTGCTTAAAACCGAAAGTCCTTTTTTTAGTCATATCAGAAATGTGTCCAAATATCACGGGCTTACATGGGATATTGGATACTTTAAACTAAAATACAAAGCCACAAGTTTAAACTACAAAAATGTATCTATAAACAGATGTTGTAGAGGATACTAATCTAGAATCTGGAGCACATGCAATCTAACTTCGCCCCCGTTGACCTTGAAAATCCAACATGTAATTTGAACAGATGCATTTGGAATAGGAAAATAAATATGGAAAACACCACCGGAAGCTGTGTTTATATGCATTCTACTGCGCCTGCTGGAAATGCTTTGGAAAACTCTCTAACTCTCTCTCTCTCTCTGCTCGCTTAGATAGGCGGAGAGTGGTTTTTCTCTCAGAGAAAGTTTTCGGCATTGCAGTTTTCCACAAATAGAAAGAGAGGAAGGGACAACAATCAGCCCACAACAACAACTGTTGAGCTGTTTAGGTAGAAAACCCGAAAATAAATCAAGGATTCAAAAGTGAAGCCGATCCCAAAAAGCAGGCAGGCTACACTTGCTGTGCAACAGATACACACGCGCGCTCTCACACAGATACACACTCACACACAGATGCAGACAGAGGAGCAGTTTCAGATGCAGCTGCGTTTCCGAACCGAGGACTTGAGGACTGAAAATCCGTAAGCTAGATCCGCACAACCAGTGCAGTGTCGATTGTGTTGCCGTGTGGACGCTTTTTGGTGCGTTGGCCGTGGGCAGAAATGCAAATTAGCAGCGAAAAAGCTGAGAAAGCTGAAAAAGCTTGCAAAAGCCACTGTGATATTAAAAAAAATGTTTTAAAATCTAAAATAAGTTAATTGTATTGGCCCGGCCGACAACCAAAAGCCAAAATAGCAGCCTGCACTAAAAATGTGCTTTTAAAAGTGTGTTGTGGATTATAAATGTGTTTTCCAATATTCCTGGTCACCATAATGTGTGTCTGGATATGTGCCTGTCTTTCGAGCACTTTCAGATATTATTTTAAAACCAGGCTTTATTTTCTCATAAATACAAGAAACAGTGATAAAATCAATTAGCAAACAATACAATTAATATGCAACTTTTGTTTTACTTTTAGGTGCAACCAATTCGCGGATTAACCCAGTGACTAATTTAAAACATTTCCACACATAGCTAACCTATTTTTTTCTATTTTTCTAGATGACTCAGGTAATGAGTTATTGTTAAATGGTTTTGGTTAAAACAAACTCACCCATCACATAAAACCACCAACACATCAGCCACACCATCAACATTCATCATCAAACAAAAATCAATGTGTTCATTTGCCGGCTTTTCAATTTGATTTGTTTATTTGAAAAATGTGTTTACCAAATTAATAAAATTTTTACAATGTCTACTTTTGTTTGTTTAATTACAAAAAAAAAAAAACAAAAAAAAAACGAAATTATGTGTTTTGCTATATTTATTTATTTATTTATGTAGTGTATTTTGCCTATTTATTGCATGCCATTCATCTAACACCATTTTGCCCTAATTCCTGATCCCAGCAGTCTTTGACTTGCAACTTGCTTTTTCATTTGTCACAGCTCAATCAAAATGATTGACACACATCAAAGCGAAGCAGCTTCAGACGGAGTGAATCGACGCAAAAAAGAAAAAAAACAGAAACTAAAATAACTAATCCCAACCATGTTTCCAATTGCAGACTTGAGCAGGAAGGAGAACACCGCACCCGATGTGGCGTCCACCGCCGAGATTCAGCGCAGCTTCCAGCGCAGCATACTCAATGGCAAGCAGCGGGATGAGCAGAAGATCCAGTTGCCCGGATCCCGGCGCAAGCGTTTGTCCGTCACCGAGGTCTCCGACATGCTCTTCGAATTCTACAAGACCAAGTCGGCCAAGGTGCCCAAGGCGGAGCAGCCGCACCGCCAGGTTTCACCGACCTCCGGCGAGATTCTGGATCCCTCGGCTATATCGGCCATTGCCGTTTATGGCTCGGCCTCCGAGACGGCCTCAAAAAACTCGAATGCTGATGAAGTGATGCGGGTTCAGAACGCCACAGCTACGCATGTGGTGGGTGCTGCCGCTGGCGCCGCCGCCTCATTTCATCCACGGCCCAAATTCACACTGAAGACAGCGGCATCGTCCACGGAACAGCTGGGCGTTGTTAAGGCCATACCCACATCGGTATTGGTGGCCAATAGTTCGGTGGCTCTAAATCCGAAACCGCAGGCAGCCGTGATTGCCGAGGCCCTGATGCGGAATGGGCTCCATAGCTTTCAGCAGCAGTTGCGTGCCCAGGAGATACTGCGCCAACAGACGCCCCATCGTCGCATCAAGGAGGAAAACGATGGCGGAGCCGCTGGTGGCGACATTACACCCACCAAAATACTGGAGAATCTCTTGCGCAAGCAGCAAGAGCGCGATCTCCGCCACTCGGAGTGCGAAAACGAGCCGGGCTATTCGACCGAGGACGACGAAGAGGGTCGCTATCATGCCTTCGATGACATACACCTGATGGAGCAGAGCGGCGGCAAGTTTGGCAACAGCTCTGGCATGGGCATGTTCAATGCCAATGCCCATGGAGGATCCGCCAGCTCGATTTTGGATGCCCATCAGGCCTTCCGCAATCTGGAGTTCACCCTCAGCGATTATGGGGGCAGCAGCAGCAATGGCAGCACCACCAGTCCCAATGGAATCGGTTTGGATGGCGAGCCCGTCTACGAGTGCCGTCACTGCGGCAAGAAGTATCGCTGGAAGTCCACACTGCGCCGCCACGAGAACGTCGAGTGCGGCGGCAAGGAGCCATCGCATCAGTGCCCCTACTGCCCCTACAAGTCGAAGCAGCGCGGAAATCTCGGTGTCCATGTGAGGAAGCACCACACCGATCTGCCCCAGCTGCCCAGCAAGAGGAGATCCAAGTACTCGATGAATCGCGAGAACGGGATGAGCGGCTCCATGTCCGATGACTCGCAGGGCAAGCTGATCATCGATTTCAATGGGAAGGGAGAGCTTGATACCAAATAAATTTGTACGGGGACCGAGTGTTGCTTCCATTTAATACATAACATTTTATACGACTGGTTTCTTGATTTGTCCATTTGCGAATTTCATTTCTTGTCATTCATGTGTCATCCCAAATATTTAATGTTTACTTGTAATAATTTATGTAATGTAAGCAAATGAAAACCAATCTAATCAAGCATATAATCAAAGTAGTCTTAAGGCCATTTTCTAACGATGCGTTTATGCGTTAAAGCATCAGTTATTAACATTTTAATTGTATAAAATTATGATTCACAAGTTGTCAATTTTATACCTACGATTATGTGTGCAAAATATTATCAAACACTCGAATATTTTCTAAGCTCTCTACTATTTAAGTTATCAAGCGAACTACGCTGTTGTCCAAAAAACAAAAAATCAAAGTATTTTTCCAGGGCTCGCCAAGTGCGTATTTCCATAAAGTTCCCAACATCTTGCCCAAAAACCCTCCGCCATCCAACGATCTCTTGACTTGGCTTGAAGAAGCTACTAAGACTCAAACTTTGGTAACTACTCGATGAGCTCAATCGATGCCATTTGCAATGATACACTATGACTGAACTAGTTTAGAAGAGTATTGCATTGAATTTACTACTGAACAAGCCATTAACCAATTGAAAAAAAAACAATTATTCCTCGCCCTGAAGACATTCGTTTCATATATTTATGGACTTTAAGACTGAGTTTTTTTGTATCTTAAAAATTATTAACCTATGACCAAAAAAAAAAAGTTGGAACATCATACGATTCCCAAACCAAAAACCAAACAATTATTATGCCTAAATGTTTTATCTGATATTAATATTTGTATTTGATTATTAAGCTTGTGTGCCGTCACATTGAATCGCCCGATATTTTATGATTGTATACTAAATAAGATTATAATTCCTAGCTGCATATCATGTGATCTTCACCGATCGACGAAGACACGATTACGAACTGTGGGCAGTGTGACTGCTAACATAAGACATGATTTTATAATGAACTTTTCATATACAATGTTTACATTTTAAATAAAAACACAGATATCATATAATTTTTAAAAATACGTGTGTATAGTTTATTATTAGGCGCAAGAGACTTTGTACTATGATTGAGTCGAACTGCGATAACAAATACTTTTGAAATTTGATTCTGATACCAGGAGATTGCAATTATAACTGTGGAGTGATTCATTTACATATTAAAAAGCTAACACCGTCGAAGTTTTAAGAAAAATGCACGAGTCGCGGAATTATTGGTCATCCTCTATTGGCCGTAGTGTGTGTGCAAGACTGTGGATATGCATTCCCCGCGGTACAAAGCGGTTGCATTAAATAATCTGTTCAGTACGAGCAGCCAATGGCCACGGTGAGGAAGTCCTCGAATCCAATGGTGATGGTTCCATTCTGCTGAGTGTCGCGCTGCCGGAAGGCCTCCGTGAAGCGCTGCACCTGCACGCAGAGCACTATGAACTGGTCCACGGACACCTCTTTGTGGGCCTGGGGGTCGCTCTTCTTCACCAGAAAGTTGATGAACTCGGGCGAGAATCGAAAGCCCATCTGGGTGAAGGCTGCAAAACAAGTGTGATAATTATTATCCATAAGAAAAGGGATATTCAGCTGTTGTGTTAGCTTGCCTTGGGTTAGTTCCTGCTCTTCGATGTGCCCAGAGGAGTCCTGATCGTAGGTCTTGAACACTTGCTGTAAGGGGATACCACAATAAGTCAGTGTACTTAGTTCCGACATAGGAAATACTTTACCAGCCATTGGTTGATGTAGTTGTAGAGCTTCTCGAACTCATAAACATCAATGGTTCCACTGGCATCGTTGTCGAACATGCCTGATGAGTAAATAACAAAAAGGCGATAAAAATATACATACATACATAGGTTGCATAGGTAAACAAATGAAGGAATGTACCCCAAATTGGGTCTATAAATACAGTGGAACTTTTATAACTCAAAATATAACTCCGGGGGGCTTAACTTATCAGTGCACCTACTGGCGTCACAGTTTATGAATGGGGAACCATGGGAATTTTTAGGTCTTTCATGACTAAAGCTTCTCAGGATGATCTATGTAGTAATATATACTCATGCGCCCTTCATTGGTTCTTGGTATACAGCGTAAAAGTTCAGTATTGACAACCTGTTCTTGTGTTACTATGCTACCAACCAAACTAGTTTAACTTGGGTTCGTCTTATGGAGGGTCTGCTGTACATGTACACCGCTACTGACGTCACAGTTCCTGGAAGCGAAAGTTTCGGACATTTTTTGGAGCGCTTTAGCTTACTAATCATCAGCTTGCAGGCATTATCCGAGAAGTGATCGCCACGCCCATTCACCAGGGCGGCCTGCAGCTCGGAGGCGTTGATCTTTCCAGATCGGTCGCGGTCCACCATGGAGAACCATTGCTGTGCCTGCGGAGAAACCTGGGCATTCTGCGGCGGAAATGCTCCGGGCGGCGGGGCATAGCCACCACCGGGCTGGGCATACGGGTTATAGCCTTGTCCCTGTGGATAAACACAGCATTTGGCACCTAATTCACTTTCCTAAGCCTTTAAATACTCACATACGACATTTTGTCACGAGCCTAGTTCGATTCTAATTGGAACTTGATGGACAAAACAATATTAATGAAACTGCAGATGACAAGAAGGGCGTTAGCCAGCACTGGCCTGGGCAAGCGATAACAATGGGACATATCGATAGCAATAACAAGACCTATTGCTTGGCTATACTCCCATCCCTATCGCCGGCATAAACAAGCAACAAAAGCAACGAAATATTAAAACAAAAATGTCGAACTTTGTGAATTTGGACATCTTCTCGAACTACCAAAAGTACATAGACAATGAACAGGAGCTCAGGGAGGTGGGTAATACCTTAATTACATCAAAAACATCAGCTTAAACCAGTGCTTTCAGAACATCCGCATTGTGGTACGCGAAATCGAGCATTTGGCCAAGGAAGCGCAGATTAAACTGCAAATTATACATAGCGATTTGAGCCAGAGTAAGTACTGCTGTGTGCTTAGTTGTTAAATGGCTCATTTACTTTCCTTGGAAAATAGTTAGTGGCGCCTGCGGCTTGGCCCGCAAACAAATCCAGTCATGTGCCGAAAAGTACCACAAATTGGCCGAACTGGTGCCAACTGGACAGTACTACAGGTGAGTCAGTTGGCGAAATCCATGGTGTCCATTGTGGGTGTCTAATTCTCCGCCTTCTGCAGATACTCCGATCACTGGACCTACATTACGCAACGTTTGATCTTTCTCATTGCCTTGGTTATTTACCTGGAGGCGGGCTTTTTGGTCACCCGCGAAACAGTCGCCGAAATGCTGGGATGTAAGCTAGATTTTCATGGGCCCTAGGATACCATATAATAGTTTATTACTCCACAGTGAAGACCAGCCAGTCGGAGGGTTTCCACCTGGATGTGGAGGACTATCTACTGGGCATTCTGCAGTTGGCATCGGAACTCTCCCGATTCGCCACCAATTCCGTCACCATGGGCGACTACGAGCGGCCCCTGAATATCTCCCACTTTATTGGCGACCTGAACACGGGCTTCCGTCTGCTGAACCTGAAGAACGATGGCTTGCGAAAGCGCTTCGATGCCTTAAAATATGATGTCAAGAAGATCGAGGAGGTCGTCTACGATGTCAGCATACGCGGTCTGTCCAGCAAGGAGAAGGGCCAGCAGGAGGAGCAGGCTGCTCCTGCAACCGAATAGCGGACTTCGTATGTAGGCTAACAGCCAGTTTACTTAAGACCTTAATTAAGATGGAAGAGTTCCATTTAAAGACACATACATATATATCTCCGCCATTGAACAGAAACACGTCTTTTACTAATTAAATAGGTTTACACTCACGATAAGCATCAATTAGCACCACTTTTATTTTATTGATCACTTCACCCAGTGGGGCAATAGAAAATTAACTAGCTGAGTACTTCAGTGCGACTGAAATTTGTGCAACTACAAAGTAATTGAAATGTTTGTGTGCCTTTTGATTAAATCATAACACAAGTATATATGTGGACATGTGCGTATGTTTGAAGGCTTAACCCTTTTGAAAGTTGCTCAGTCGCCACCACTGGGCGGCAGTTGTTGTTGTTGGCCCGATCATATGGTGGTTTTGTTGCTGCTCTTCTTTGGCCGCTGCTTCCGTTTCGCTTTTGCTTCTCAGGCGCAGTTTCAGTCTCTCTTTCGCCACCGCAACGCTTACAACATTAACATTGCGCGCGCGTCTTTGCAATTTTCCGTTTGCTGCTTCGTCGTCCGTCGTCCTTCCTGTGTTGTTCTTGTTGTTTGCCACGTTTTGTGCGCTCTTTATTGTTTCGCCCTTTCCAGTAATTTGATTTGTAAGCGGAGACTGTGCAATTGCAATTGGCAGCCATTTGAAGAAAGTAAGTCTGGCGGGCAGTTGGCCGTGTGAAAATTCCGTTGCCCCAGAAACGCACGCACTCTCTGGGCCGCGCCCCCTTTTCCGCCCCCGCCCCCAAAAATAAAAGCTAAAACCTAGAGACGCCACAACCTGTTTGGCAATAATTGGGTCAGAAATCCGGTAAAAACTTGTTGCCCGAAATGGTCACTAAACAAATAGCACTGTATTTATTACAAAACTCTTGTCGAGTCTGCAGTTGCGTTGTTGTTGTTTGTTTGTTTTAATTTTTTCGTATTTCGTTACGCAGACATAGTTGTTGTCTTGTGTTTTTCAAAACACGCTTTAATCGAAGCGGTTCAAAGTCCGAAACAAGTTTCGGAGAGGCTTAACGGGGCACGCTCTCTCTCTCTCCCTCTCAGTTGCTCTCCCCCTCTCGTTACAGCGCCCTGAGTGGGAGGAGAGCGAATAATACTGAGAGAGCTTTCGACGTAAACATCTATAAAGCAAACCCACAACAGACTCCCACACACAGCACAGACCTGCAGGTGTTGCGCTCTCCGCCTCTCTCTCTCTCTCCTTGCGGCACTCTCATTTCGAAGGGAAAATGCCAAGGAAAAGCTCAATCGCAAGTCAACAACAAAAAGTCAATATAATAAACCCAGAATCCGAGTGCTAACTGTTATGGAAAGTAGCGAAACCATTAGCTATGGACCTCCTGCAGTGAGTGTTTTGCTTTCATACCCGGTAATTGTGGACTTACAGGGTATATGCATTGCACATACATCATGAAGCACAAACAAACTTGTGCATAAATACTATTATCTCCATTCTTGGCATATTTCATGAAAATATAATTATAAAAATATAATTTATATTACTCAGTCTTACTGTTTGTGTAATTAGTAGTGAGTATGTGCAGAGCTGAAGCATTTGAGCAATCATTTGCCTGCTTAAATCGCATGGCCTTTACACCTTTTTAGAACTGTCCAGGAGCATCTCAAATGGTTGTGAAACTAAAGTATTAGGTATAGTTTGTTATGACCGTTTCTAACGACCATGCTCAACCAAAAGTGTGTTACGTTTTTAAGTGCAACAGCACTTCAGAAATGTTTTCATTGCTTTACGGTGCTTTCAGTGCAGAAACCTACTAGCGGCTATCTTGTAGTCGAGCATCTCGAAGATATTACGCGGCCGCGGCAGCTGTGAATGATTCGCAAGGGGTCCCAGTCGCAACTGGTTCCCAGCGCCTTTGTGCCGCCCCTCGCAACCCGACCCCCCGCAACCCCCGCTACCTCGGATTGTACCGCTCTCGTTAGACATGCGTGGCTGCCTCGGTCGTTCGCAGTCGTCGCACATTTCAAGTTTGCTGCGGTTCAAAGTCCAAACTCAAGATACAGATACCAACACCGCCACCAGCACCGAGAGATTACTGCACCATCTCGTTTTCATCGTTTTCATCGCGGTGGCTACTTTCAATTTGAATTCTCCAATCTGGGCAGACCTTCGTTGGGGGGTACGAAGATCCCAGTGCGGTGCGATAAGAGGGCAACACTTGTGCCAGGTAGACACTTCCAACGCGTCACCGATTGCACTAGGTTATTCTGGCAGCACTTCACCCCTTATCGGTACCGCGTGCTCGAGCAATCCTTATCAGACCGCCGAAATTGCGTACCATTGAAGTTCTCACAGGCCCCCCGCCACTGCCATTATTGGACTTTCAACTATAAATAGTGAGCGATAGGTTTTATCGCCTCGCTCAATTGTTGCTTATCTCCCCGCCTGCTCATTGGCCAGTTTTTGGTTATAGAATCAGATCGTATATGTAAGACTTGTTTTTCAGCTGGTTTATCAAGTGAACAGGCTAACTCGCCATGTAAGCGCGATAAGAACAGGTGTGGAGAGCTCATCCTCAGATCTGAAGTTGCTTACCTAAGCGGCATGCAGATACAGTGCCATCATCTGCCGAGAGATCAAAGTCCCATTGGCCGAATTTTAAACCTAATCTTTATGATATGAACCCTGATATTAAGAAATCGTGCCGACTGCAATCTTGAATATGAGTTATTTATGCTTTTTTTATAGCACAGCGAAAGATATATGGGATAGCACCTATTTTATCATGCCCTTTAGACTTGGAAAGTATCTTATCTGCCACTATGTACATCTCTGTATGTAGTTTTAAAATAAATTAATAGTTCTCCCTGTTTATTGTTATTATTTATTGAACCAGGCAAATTAGAATGCTAACCTTTGATGTGTTCATCGGCTGTCATATTAGTTTTGTCTAATTATTTCCGCTAAGTCCATCAAAAATATGATAATTGTAATATATCTCTTTCGAGTATTGATAAGCAGACTGATAGATTCCTAGAAATTTGTCTAGCCAGGTTAAAAACGAATCTTGAAGAGGCGTATTAGCGAGTTTAACTGCGCATACCCTCCAAACGATGAGTACACCCATCTTATATATGCACACACTCGTAGGTGCTATCCATTTCGCCACAAGATAAGGCCGTATCGACCTGAAGAGACCGTATTCCCGGAATATCGCCGGTCAACACTCCACACGGGCAGCCCCCCTTCCAGTTTTCGACGAGCCTCTCGACTCGTGACGCATCCATACCATATCAAACCATACTATGGTATGGTATACTTTGGTATGGTATACAGTGGACCTGAAAAGCACATCGACTCTGGGCTAAAGTATCTCTCTCTCTCTCAGCGCTCCGCTCCGAGTGCTTTTAAGACCCTAACGAACCCGTTGTGCTCACAGTCGATTCAGTCAGCGCTCGGCGTTCAACCGATCAAGTCGCTCTATAAGAAGGGGATCCGAAGCATCCCCAGTGGAATTTATCGTGTGTGCAGTGCATCTGGCCTAGGATTTCGCAATTGTCATTTACCAATTTTCACCCCCCCGCACAACGTTTATAAATACCACGCAGTGCGATTGCAATTAATACAACCCGGAAACAGTTTACACCGAATTGCATTAATTCGACTAGAAGGTTTGTTTGTCTCTTTTATTTATCTGCTATCCACAAAGCTGAAGGTCGGAAAAGCGTAAACAATGCGCCATCGCAAGCAATGGGTTTATAATCCCCAAAGGTTGCATTTTTGCGGCTTACGTTTTATTTTTCGCCATGCGATCTATTCCCCTAGTCTTTATCTCGATCCCACTTATGTATGTATGTACATATGTGACCCAATTGAGGCACATGTTTTTTGATAGTTGGAGTTAGTTCTATTAAAAACCTTATCAGCTGGCCGAAACTTTCAGAGTTACATAAATGCCGGCATTGGACCCGCCCCCTCACAAGTAAATACATATAGGCGCAAGGTCGAGCCCACTCGATCTAGAAAATAGCAAAAATTTCAATATAATTAACGCTGTAGATGTAGAGACCCTGTATAGCAAGAGACCGCACGATCGCGCAGACTGTGAAAAAAACAATTCGTGGACTTTGCCCCTCGTGCCCAGCAAAAAAAAAGATCTTATAAAAAAAAAACAACAAATCGCGCATACATTATTTCTGTTTTTTTTATTTTCCTATGTTGAGGTGGCTTTTGTAGTGGCTGCTTTGTTGCTCTGCCCGCCGATACGCAAACAAATAAATGCCGGTAGTGGTCGGTGCTGAAATTATTAAGTATACGCCGCATAGTCGTCGCCACAATGTGGGTCAAACGAAAATGAATTCGTATCGTATCGTATTGTAGCTATTTCGAGTTTGGAGCTGCTGGTCTTTCTGGTTTATTGATATGTTTGGACAATAGATATCCGATCGGATGCACTGACCTTTACCAAGGTGTATACATCGAATCAAGGTTTTCCTTTGGCTAGAGTGTAATTTTGGGCATTTCGTGTTGAGAAGTTGAGGAACTTTTACTCATTTTATAAATAGCTATATATAAATAAACATTTTTGTGCATATATATGCACCGCCTGCCGACTTCCAATGCCTGGGCAGTTTACAAATTATTTATCGCAGCAATTATCTTTCGAGTGGGGAAAGCTGAACTTTGTCTTCGTTTCTGGCTTACCACTGTAGGCCGTTCTAGAATCGAATGCCAGCCATTCGACGGGACTGCTGCCCAGACCCACAATCACAGACAGACTCGATCGTTTGTCCCGGTGATGATAACCCTAGCCCCAGATGAAGAAAGCTGCGCTCAGTGACGTCAATCATCAATTGCATGTACAGTGTTATGACATCAAAAGCTGTCTACTAATTAATTTATATAGCATATAGGAACTCTGTAGCGTGCAATAATTGAACTTTGGACTGGTACTGGCTCCAAACAAAACACTTATGAAAACAGAGATACAAATGTGAAGTATCTACAATCTAAAACGCATTTCGACTTCAAGACGTTGACCAAGATGTTTTTTGTTTATGAATCACATGGCGGCTCGTATGTCTGGCAATTTCCATTGCCACCTTATCAGATAATGTTTACTACGACCCATCTAGACCACAAAGAAACAAGTTATCGGGGGCCTAAATTGGGCGTTCACCTTAATTGGCGAAAACATGAGTGTTTCGATTAGCGTATCTCCTGTATCTTGATTGCAATCAAGGTTTAAGCTGTAGATTTCCTAAGACTTTAGCTGAAACTTTCTAACTAATGCTTGTGTATACCCATTATCTGTATCCCGCAGCAGTTTTCTCGTACGTGGGATATCATTAGCAGGCTACAGGTATGGCTGAAGCCCATGCCGCCGTGGCATTCTCATTTGCCATCACCCACGAGGGCTTCGACATCAACTATGACCACGAGGTGCTCAATTTGGTGTGGAACTCGGGAGTTCGTTCCTGGAAAAAGCGCTTGGGTCGCGCAAGGGTAAGTCCAAGTCGCATACGACTACTGACATACAAATGGACACCAGTTCATATGGAATTTCTTTCCAGAACGGCGTACGCAATGGCGTCTATCCGGCGCACATCCAGAGTCTCTGGCTGATCTCGGCAATAGCGCTGGGTCTGCATTTTGCTGGCTACCAGGCTCCCTTCAATCTGACCAACCGGATACTGGTGCACCTGCCATCCAACACAGTAAACTGGCAGATGACCGCCTGCTTTTTGGCCGCTCTGGTGGTCTGGCTATCGATCTGCTTCACCATGAGATACACTCTCAAGCTGCTGCTCATGTACAAGGGCTGGATGTACGAGTCGAGAGCTCCTGGCAGTCGCGTCTCTCTGCCCACCGTGTTGTGGGTGGCTGTGGTGCGGGTGCTATCCAGTTGGAACAAACCGGGCCTCTACAGCTTCCAGGGCTCTCTGCCCAGGCTGCCGCTGCCCTCCGTTAAGGACACGATGACCCGGTACCTGCGAAGTGTTCGACCGCTGCTGGATGATGAAAACTATACGCGCATGGAGCGACTGGCCAATGAATTCGAACAGACCATCGGCAAGAAGCTGCAATGGTATCTCATCCTCAAGAGCTGGTGGTCCACCAACTACGTATCGGATTGGTGGGAGGAGTACGTCTACCTTCGTGGTCGCAGTCCCCTCTGCGTGAACAGCAACTTCTATGGCACCGACGCGATCTTCATGAACCTCACCGACAAGCAGGCGGCGCGTGCGGCCAATGTGATCTCCCTGCTCCTCAACTTCCGTCGACTGATCGAGCACCAGGAACTGCAGCCTGTAAGTAGCAATAAAATAGCTGGAATACCAATTAAAAAAATATTTGTACAGAAAGCGCTTAATGTGTGTTTCATCCGACACGTGAACTCGCTTTGCAGTAAATTCCTACTATATATTCTAAATGTTTTTTAAATACTTCATGGAGACAATGATGAAGCATTAGTCATATTCATTTGCTTTGTTGAGGAATATTGAAGAATATTAACAAATTACAAATTACAAATGAACGTATCTCATATTAAACCCTTTCAATTCTTTTTAGATCATGGTACAGGGCATGATTCCTCTGTGCTCTTGGCAGTACGAACGCACCTTCAACACGGCACGCGTGCCCGGCCTGGAAACCGATCGTATCATCCACTACCGGGACTCCAATCACATTGTGGTGCTCCACAAGGGCTGCTACTACAAGATGCTCATCTACTACAAGGGTCGCATCCTGCGTCCGTGCGAATTGCAGGTGTAAGTGACTTGTGGAGTGCCTTAATAGAGAGAGAGAGTTATTAATTGGTGTTATTCTGCAGGCAAATTGAGGAAATCCTGAAGGGCAAGGCCACGCCCGTGGAAGGTGAGGAGCATTTGGCTGCGCTGACCGCCTGGAACCGCTCCAAGTGGGCGGAGGCTCGCAACACTTTCTTCTCGTGGGGAGTCAATCAGACCTCACTGCGAACCATCGAGTCGGCCGCCTTTGTGCTCTCCCTGGATGATGAGCCCTTCGAGTTTGATTTGGCGCGTCCGGAACTGCTGGACAACTTTGGCAAGAAGCTGCTGCATGGCAATGGCTACAACCGCTGGTTTGACAAGTGCTTCACGGTCTGTGTGGGCACCAATGGTCGCGTTGGCTTTAATGCCGAGCACACCTGGTAAGTGGAGTCCAAACGCTGCACCTAGTACCTCCTTTCAGCACCCATCAAATGTTTTCGATTTGCCATACCTAACTATCTGAAACGATTTGTAAAATTATCCAAATTCCAAAAGGTCCGACGCTGCCATCGCCTCACACATGTGGGAGAACCTGATCGTCGATGATCTTGTATCGGACGGGTAATGATTTTCGATTTCTCTACCCGCCTGCAATTGTCGGTTTCGGTTGGCTGCGTTCAGTTATCACCTATCACCCATTTTACCAATTAAATGATTATTTTTTATTAACTCCGGTTGTGGCCTAACAATTTATTTACACCATCTACACTTTTTTTATAGGGCCGATGCACCGGTTTTGGGACACCTGTGGGAGTATATATTTGGTGATGATATTTATGGGTAAACACTTAACTACAAAGCACTTAACTACACACAAGCACAAAACAAAGCTATTCGAGTCATTTTTGGATTGAGCACCAGAGATCACTAGGCGCTAAAAGCTTTAATGATCTAGCCGTACAGTAAATACTAGCTTCAATGAACTTTAAACGTGCAAAGTCCAGTACTTTTTGAGGGATTATTCATTTTTGACATCAAGAATTGAACTAAACAAGTTGTATATAAGTTTCCAATGAGGATTTTACTTTTTCCTCACTGCGTTTATTTACTGTATCTACAAATGCTAATCAAACCACAAGCAAACATTCAGTTTATTTTGTTTACGTGACTAACAACAATTACACAAAATTAACAATAATTTGAGTTACGCTGCTTGCAATGAATTCCGGCACAAAACCTCCCACCACAATGCTAACCTATTCCTTGGTAACCCTGTAGATATGATGAATCTGGCAACACAAAGGGCACCCCGGAGTTCCAGCCACCCACACCCACCAGGCTCCCGTGGGATCTTAAGCCCTGCATGGCGCAGATCGAGGAGGCCACCATCGATGTGACCAAGCTGATCAACGAGGTGAACCTGCGCATCCTGGTGCACCAGGATTACGGCAAGGGCTTTATGAAGAAGTGTCGCATCTCACCGGATGCCTTCATACAAATGGCCCTGCAGTTGGCCTACTACCGGGATGCGGGTCGCTTCTCGTTGACATATGAGGCTTCCATGACCCGTCTGTTCCGCGAAGGAAGAACTGAGACAGTGCGTCCTTGCACCATTGAGTCATCCGCCTGGGTAAAGGCCATGCAGAACCCAGATACAACCGTAAGATGTTAGAATCATATGTAACTGGATCACTCACTAATTCATATATCCTTGCTGTGCAGAACGATGAGCGTGTCAAGATGCTTCGGGCTGCCTGCGATCGTCACCAGCTGGGCTACCAGGATGCCATGTGCGGTCGCGGCATCGACAGGCATCTGTTCTGCCTGTACGTGGTCTCCAAGTACCTCGAGGTGGATTCACCCTTCCTCAACGAGGTGCTCAGCGAACCCTGGCGCCTGTCCACTAGTCAGACTCCGCACGGCCAGACGCCCAAGATGGACCTCAAGAAGCATCCAAACTGCATCAGTGCTGGTGGCGGCTTTGGGCCCGTGGCCGATGATGGTTACGGTGTGTCGTACATTATTGCCGGAGAGAACCTGATATTCTTCCACATCTCAGCGAAGACAACGTGCCAGCAAACGGTATGGAGCACCTGGTTGATATCATAGAGCATAGCTAATTGATGTGGTTTTTTGCAGGATGTGCATCGCTTCGCGCAGAACATATCGCAGGCACTGTCCGACATTCGCAGCATGTTCGAGCAGCACATGAAGGACCATCCGAAGCCCGCCAAATCACTCACAAACGGCAAATCCACATAATCCGCCTAAGTCCATGTAGTCGAGATTCTTGTTAGCATTTGTTTTATCCCTTCTAGTTGGTCGTTTTAAACACATCTGATACATCCGTCTAGCCTAAGTTCCAAATGAAGTGCAAAAGTCGTCGTGAGAGTTATACATAAACAATGCAATTTTTTATAAACAATTGTGACTTGGCTGGTTTAAGATTTAGTCTTTAGATACTTTTGCACAATATTTGATGTTTCTCAATCAATTAGTCTGTAAACGGAGAAATCGCGTAACCTTAAGTGCTATAAATATACTTCAATTTAAGCATATGATTAAGTGTACTCAATCACGCCGCCAAGGTATTGGCATGATCCATTGATCTTCTTGTCCATATGGGGACGTTAGTCCAGTAGAGTCGAGTTTCCCGACTATCAGATACCTGTTACTCAACTAGTGGAAGATCTAAGAAAAATATGTTTCATATTTTTTTTGGCATATCGATAGAAATTGGAGAAATGAAAAAAATCTAAAATCTCTTGCTTTTATAGTTCCTGAGATCTCTCCTGAGATTCATACGGACTGACAGATGGCCAGATCAACTCGGCTGGTGACCTTGATCACTTTATAGGGTCGGAAACGCTTCCTTTTACCTGCAACCTACTTTACTTTTACTCTACGGGCAACGGGTATAAAAACGAGCCTCCATCTCTTGATATTTAGGATGGAAATTACCTGGTATTTTATTACCTGGCATTTCATTGCCTTGTAAGGTTGCAATCTTAGGTAGCCGAACGTGTCCTATAAATACTGCGACTCACTAGAACTGAGCTCAGTTGAAGTTACACCCTTGAAGACGATTCACACTCGATACTCGTACTCCAGTCTCGCCGAGGAAACTAAACGTTTTAATATATTTTCAAAATGAAGTTCTTGGTGAGTGTTTTCATAGTTCTCAGGCATGTTACACAGATTCATTAATATGAGTTGGCTTCTAGATTTTCTGCCTGGTTGCCCTGTTTGCCATAGCCTCGGCGCGTCCCCAGTTCGGATTCGGTGGATTTGGAGGCGGGTTCGAGCAGCAACAGCAGCAGGCCGGGTTTGGACAAGGTTTCGGTGGTTTCGGCGGCTTTGGACAGCAGCAGCAGCAGGAAGGTTTTGGCGGAAATGGAAACTTTGGTCAGCAGCAACAAGAATTTGGTGGTTACGGCGGTTTTTACGGTTGAATTTGAAAGAACTGAACATTATTGTAAAATCTAAGCTCATTAAAAAACGTAATGAAAAGTTACCGAACGTCTTCTTTGAAATTTTAAATAGATATACATGTCAAGCTGATTTGTAGATCTGCACCATTGGTTGCTACAACATAATAGACATTAAAAGAAATATTTTTTGTATTCAACCTTTTATTAAAATATTATTATAAATTTTGCACTGGTCTCAAGTTGCCCACTTGCAGTTCTTATGATTGGGAATTTTCTCGAAAATGTAAATGCTTTCGAAGAAACTCTCAATCATACCTACCGCACAATTTTGTAGAACCCATTAGCACTGGCACATGGGCAGTAACTGACCTCCTGCTCCTTGATCTCCGCCGTGGCCTGTCCTGGTTTCTGAGGATCGTTATGGTTTGGGACTTCTGCCAGGCTGCAACTTTCTTTCTGGAACCGGAAACTGGAGTCATATAAAACTCTAACCTCGCCATCGTCGATTTCGTCGGGTGCGCATGGACAGCGGAAGGGATCTTCAGATTTCGGAACGGAAACTTCTTTATACTGGTAAGCTGGATGGTTACTACAAGTACAGTCTGTACCCGCGGGCACTTCCTCCATTTTTCTGTCATAAACCTTGGGTCTTTGGGGTTTTCTACACCAAGTGAAAAATCCGCTACGCTTCGATGATTTCTTACTGCTATATTCTATAATATTTTTGTCATTTCCAGCATTGGCTGGCTTTTCATTAGTTTCCCTTGGCGATTTTCCTTCAATGTTTTCATCCTGCGGCCGTTTGTTGTTTGTTTTGAAACAGAGAAAACCGCGTGATTTTGTCGATGGCGGGGATTTCTTTTCTCTTTGGTTGAACTTTTCCTGCGGCTTTTCAATTCGTTGAAAACATGCAAGTCCCCTCGATTCTTCTTCTTTTTGCTTCTTTGTGGGAGTTGTGTTCTTCTTATTGTAATTGAAACTAGATTTTGAAGAAGTTTTTTCTTTAGGTTTCGGATTTTCATTGGGATTTTTGTTCTTTTTTATGAAACAGCTAAATGCACTCGATTTAGGTAGAGCTTTTTCATTTCCCATTTCTGTTTCCTGCTCATCATCATTTTTTGGTTTTAAACAACAACTAAATATGGAGGATTTCGATTGCTTTCTTTTCGTATCATTGCCACTTTTCATTAATTTGTCACTTTTGCAATTCCAAGAAGGCTCATGATTTTGAGATTCTGTTGCACATAAACAAGCAGAGGAAGATTTCATTGGAAGAGGTTTGTCTTCAATTATACGGAGGAATGGGCATTCTTGGGCGCATTTTCGAGATTTCTTTTCCTCATTCTCCTTGAATTTTTCGAAATCTCTCAAAATATGCCTGTCGTAGCTGTTTAAAATGGGATCTGTGACTAGAGAATTCCGTCTGTTTTCGGCAAAAACTGGTGCAGGTATACTAGGGGTTATGCAGACTGCGATTTCTTTGGATTCGTGGACATCTTTCGCTTCAGCCTTAGGTAAATTACAATGTTTATGGAGTACCTGACGCTCCTTTTTAAGAGGAACAAACATCTTGCACGAGTTGCAGATCCTGGTTGCAATCTGATCATTATTGTAATCATCTGATTTTCCACTACGTTGACGACCCCTGTTCTTGGAATTAATTTTGCATTTGCGAAGATCGGTAAATAAAACTCGGTGACGGTAGGGACAATCTTCAAAACATCCCTCTGAATCGTAGCTTACATCATCGCACTGATCCTTTTCCCGATCCACTAGCATTCTTTCATTTGTACAATAAATACCCTTTCTTTTGGGACAATGGCAGTTACTGTGGGTTTTCTCTGGGAATTTTGGATTATTACAGACTTCAATATTATTATCTTGTCGCCGATGTAGTCGATGACTACAGCTTTTAGTGTTTAATGCTGTATCTTGTTTGCACTGTATCTCAGTATCTTTATCTTCCCTTGGACAATTTGCTTTTCTTTCGCTATATGCTCGCTGCTTTTGAGAAGTCACTTTACATGGGTTATTGGTCGTAGCTTCGTATTCATTTGGAACTCTATTAATGCCTTGATTATTAGGACAATGTGCATTACAGGACACTTTTTTCATATATTCGATCTCCCCACAGTTGAGAACAGGTTCTCCAAATCTTTCGGAACATTTTGGATTCTCACAGACTTGGAAATTATAAGCATTTTGATTATGAGGAATATGGACATATTGCTGCCAATCATAACAATTCTCAGCATATAATCCTGAATGTCCTGCAAATTCGTATTCTGGAAATGGAGTTTTTCCTGCCACTTTTGTTTTCTTTTCGCTTTGCGATGATCGTCTTGCAGAACTGATTTGATGCGACTTACTATCCGCATATCCACTTTTATTACGTGACCTATTGATTTCTTTCGCACTTTTACAAAATTCTTTTCCGCACTTTTTTTCTGAACTGCATGATGTGGCGTTTGTTGGATATTTATTTCTATCCTTGCTTATATCTTTTTTATCGGTGCACTCCGAATTCTTACAATTACGCCCTTCTGTGCTTTTTTCAACATTACCAGTCCTGTAAATATTTCTATATTGTGGAGAGTGTATATCTTTGCTCGAACTTACTTTACATTTTAAATTATCAGGACATTTCGAATTGGTGCACTTTATAGCCCCTGTGTTTTTTCGAATTTCTTGATTAGTAGAATTAGGACAATCCTCAGTGCAGAAATTTTCTTCCACTTCGTTTTGTGGGTACATTTCTAGTTGGGTTCTTCTGGATGAGAATATTTTTGAAGAACTCTCGACATTTTTCGGTTGCCTATGTGTTTGCATTTCGGGACTATTTTCATAATCGTCGTCGTTTCTGATTCCATGTCTTTGGCCCATTGTATCTCTTCTGTGTCTATTCACTACTGTAATTCGTCCTTGTCGCTTTTCTCTTTGATTGAAAGGACAATTTGGTGAGCAACCTGCAGTTTGGAAATAATGTTTAGTTCTTTGGCTCCTGGGATGATTGGAACAAACTTGATTTTCTGCGTAATCTACGTTTGCGCTTTTATCTGAGTTTCTTCTTTTGGTTTGTTGATGCAAATCCTTATCTGTCTGATCTTTATGGGAATTCCTGCAAAAATATATTTCAGGTTCATCTCTGTATACCAACGGAGGATCTTCGGATTTCTGACAACCTTCGCCTTGTTCATCATATATAATTGCATTCTTTGCGGAACAATATGGATTACCGCAAAAATCTTCATAATTATGAGCGGTGCCAGCCTTTTGAAAAGATTCACCACAAACCTGGTTGCCCTCCAGTTGGTGACTTTCCTTTGAATAATATGTGGCACTATTTGCTCTGGGGTAAACTGGATTTTCCCACGAGCTGGGCAATTGACCGGCTACTGGACAAGAAGGATTATCGCAAGTCTGTGTATGATCTACATAGTTTATGTCTCTATTAAGAGTATGTTCACCTACACCGGATTGATCGCAGACTTGGAAGGTCACAGTTCCTCGACTGTTTTCACATGGACAATGCTCGGGTGGTTTGCATACTTCTGAATTATTCGCAATGCCATTTTCTCTAGCCATTTGCATATCAACACATTCAGGATTGCAACTTGGCACGATTTCCGTCTGATCAACTCTATTCGAGTTCCATGATTTAAGGTAATCTAAAGCATATGGGCAAGTTGAATTGTTGCATATTTGTAAGGGCTCTTGAACAGCATTTCCCCCATTAGCTGTATACGTTTCTGGGCACACATTGTTGCGCTCCTGAAAGGATATTCCTGCTTGTCCATGTTCTGCAGCAGCACAATATTGCGGACAGTTGCATATTTCCTTGGGAGCTTGTCTTTCTGCATTTGAGGTAGTCTTGGAAGCCTGGCTATAATGTGAATCCGTTTTTGGCTGGCCTGCCGAAAAATTCTGTTGGCAATTCTGCATCTGGGGAGATATTCTACTGCACTGGGCATTCAAACACGATCTGTTAAAACTCTCATTGATGCTTTGATTTTTATAAGCCGCCATTGGGCAATTGCCTTTTGCTTGACTACCGGTTGCAACATTGGTGGCTTCGTTGCAGGGTGTCTGGGTTCGATATGGTTGACTTTTTCGTTCGCATATTTCCATTGGGTAATCATATTCTGTTTGCCTGGATGTTATATTAGTTTTAAATGGTTCATAGGCGGCGGAAGCATTATTAAAGGAGTCCTGAAGAGTCCTGCCATTCGCTGTGTTGTTTTGATAAATCGCATTATTTCTTACTGCAGTGCCTGCAAAATATGTACTCGAATTCGATTGATAAATGATCGATGGGTTTCCACAGTTGGCAGCATCTCTTTTACTGTAAGCATAATTATGCCCCAAATTCATTGGCCTTTCATTATAGTGGATTAGTAACGAACTATCCTCCTTGAAGAGGTATTGATTTTGGAAAGCATCAACCGGCTGAGCAAATGCTTTCCTTTCCATATGGACATTTTTCCGCTGGTAAACTTTAGTTTGTCTTCGGCCTTCATCTGCAGTCTTTGAGTTTTCACACTTTCCAATTCCTTTTCTAGAATTTATTTGCTTTTCCAGGCCGGCCACAGTTTTTTGTAGAATATTCAATATTTCCCTCACGTCACAATCTTCGACATGGGACACACATCGCTTTGGAATTTGTTCTTTACTCATTGACTTGCACATTTCATCTTGGTTCTTTGCAGCTGACCTTTTGCACTGGCAATTTTCACACACTTGGCTTTTTGTTTTTTCGCATGGTGAGGCTTTCTTCACAGATCGTTTTCTAGAACTACATCTACTGCAGCAACTGCAGCATCTACTACCTTTTCGTTTTTTCGTACAAGTTGGCTTCTTGTTTTTCGGAGCAGCCACTTTGGGCAATGCAATTTCTAAGGAGCTCGATTGCACCAGACGGTGTTGGTCCTCCTGCGCTTGAATTATAAGGGAATTGGATTGTTCAAGTCTTAAACTCTTGGCTTCCGCCTTTTGTGGCTTACTTTGAACTTGCCTACGTGGTTTCAAAGACTCTCTTTTAGCCAGACGAGCTTGTTGGCACTTGCAACTAGTTTTATCCGCTGTGGCTTGTTCAAAACTAGCCTGATTTCGTCGCCTTTCTCGCTTTTGAAGTTCTGTTGAATTTGACTGTACTACTTCCTGTGATTCAATCGTAAGCGAATTCGATGTTACTAGACTCAAGCCAGTTGGCGTTGCTTGCCGCGCCCTACTGGACTGATTGATACCATCCCGATTTCGTGCTCCTGTTTTGGATCTTTCCGATCTCGGTTGCTCCTGTTTGAATCCTTGAACTTGTTGCCTGTGCTGTGCAGCATAATGAGGCATCTTCTGATAGTTGGCATCCTTTTCGTAAGGTGCTCCCAAAAACAGTGCAGATGTCTGAGTGACAGCCACAGTGCATTTGGGACTGTGCCTGTCAGCATATCTGCCATTTGCCCTTTCAAAGGAACCGCGGAATGAGTCTTCAGTACCAAAACTTCGAGTAGCTCTTTTAGAATGTCCCAGGGCTTCAGCTGAAATAAACAATATGCGAGTTAGGCTAAGATCTATTCAAGAATCTTATAAGACGCTTATAGTACCTTGTCTATAGGACCTTTTATCCATCTGATTGCAATGGGCCTGTGTATCGTGCCTTTTTCTGGGCGCATCCGAATCATTCGCCGAGTATTTGTTGTGATCATAGTACGGATACCCATTAGTTGTATTTTGATTGTAATTTGAAGAATTTATGCCATACGCTTTAACGTCGTCGCGATATACAATTCGTTTTCCACACTCACCCAACATTTCTCCGCTTTCCACATTATTATTGCGTGGAGCAAATTTTTCAAGCGAAACTAGACTGGCTGGTGTAGGTAATTTATTTCTAGCGTAGAATTCCTTTGAAGTCTCCATTAAAGAATCGTAGGAGACTTCTGAGCAATTGCGGCCCTGACTCTTCAACATCCTTTCTTTTACCTTGAAACTCATTGACTGGTCGTACTTTCCTTTATTATTTTCATATTGGAAATTGGAACTCCTTTGCATCCACCGATCCTGATCCATATTTTTCCTTTGGCGCATTGGTACGTTTTCCTGAGTTCCCCTGGCCATGTATCCTTGAACTTCCGTATTGCTGGGCATTTTAAGCCCCCACTTGGCATCTGAATTGGTAGGGGGCTTGCTTACCTTCTCTATTTGGTCTAGATAATCACACTGGCACGGTATCTTTGGTTGGTGGTCAGTCTCCATTTCCATGTCCGTTTCCGAGGGACTATAGCCGCCGTAGTTCTTGTAAGTTGGACCTGATGAGTTTGGCTTACACTGAAAATAAACCCTTGAGTTGGCACTGCTTCTTGATGGAGTTTTGGTAACCATTCGATCTGGTCTAAAATCCTCCCCGCTGTTGACCCTATTCTTCAATTTCTGGAATGCCCCCGAAGCTGGAGATTTCCTTTCTTCAGAGTAACTCCTTGCTTCATTTTCGCTGACTGTCTGCGTTTCGGCCACAGAAACGGCCTTGCTTTTCTTGACCCGCTTTTTAGCTCTCCTTTTAATTGTACACTGACAGGAATTATCCGACTTGATGGGCGTATTCAGTTGATGGTCGTAGGGCGTGCGATTGAGAATCGAACAATTGATGATCTCCTCCAGCGATCCTTGAGAATTTTTTTTCAAATCCTCCTTGACTTTACTGATATTAAGTTGCCAGGTGGATGGGTAATTGCTGGTACTATATCGCGACCGAGAGCTGCCCCTGGAATGTTCTTTGGTTTTCAAGCTGTGGCCACTTACAGTGCGGCTGTCCTCTGAAATGGGAGGAGTAGTTGAGTCCTTTAATGTGGTATATACCCAGCATTTATAACCATACCACTTGGCTTTAGTTTCCCACGTTCGTGGGCTGAGTTCCTCGCTTCCAGCTCACATCCTGGCTGATTGCCTGCCGTCTTCCTCTCCCGGAAAACTCTCATCGGACTGGATGCCAAAATCCTGCGCAGTTTCATTGCTGCTCTCGACGAGGATCTCTGCTGCATACCGCTGACCAATGTGGGATCTCTGCTCAACGGGGGAGTCGCCACAACACCACCAGGATCCAGGACCGATTCGCCTATGACCTGCCCTCCGCTGACGCTTTTGGCTAAGGCTCGTCGCAGGAGGATTTGCTGAGCAGTACGACGCCTTTTAGACAGGCCAGTCATTTTCAAGGAGCGCAATTCAAGAACGGCAGCTCAGAGGTTCAGTTACATTGATGGATTTATCTGACAGCTGGAAAAAAGCAACCGCATTGGAAAAATATAACTTGTGTGGTATGTACAGTGATTCATTAGGATTTACTTGGGTTCCAAAGGGGCACATATTTCTTATATGTATATATAATAGCACTTGTTATAATAGCGAATTATGAATATTTTATTAGCCGCCAGAAAACTACTTATATGAAGCTTTCTGGCGACAGCTAACTAAATGTTGCGGATCTGTACAGGTTATAGCTGGCATTTAAATTCGTCGGGGGCGGCTTCAAAAGCCACAAGCTCCTCCACAGTTGTAGTCACAGGTGTAACAGCTCCTTGCGACAGGAGCACAGCTGCAGGGATTGCAGCACTGGTTGCAGTATGGACTGCGCCCGAACTCCAGGCTTCGCGGCTTTGGATTGAGGACAAACGGGGGACTGGCGAACCGGTCGTAGTATACTGGGGGGTACCACTTCTTTTGCTTTCGGCGCCGCTTTTTCTTCTTCAAGTAGCATATGCACTCGGCATTGGGTATCAGTTTGCGCAGAGTTTGCTCCAGATTGGTGAGATCGCATTCGCAGCCGAAGTCTTCGGGTAAATCACTGCCGGCCACACAGGTGCATTTACCCTGTCGATTGCACGTGCACTCCGCATCCTCGTCGAAAGATTCATCGTTTAGCGTATCGGGAGATGGAGCACACTTGCAACAGCGACAGGTATCCGGTTTGCCAGTTGAGATACAAATTGGCACCTGTTACGGAGATAGAGATGTGCTTAATGCGGTCTACCGCGAATGACACGCATCATACCTGTATGCATTTGTACGTCTTGTTTTTGGCATCGGTCACAATTACTTCCCGAATATCCGGCGGACTTGCCCTATCCGATACATAGTCTATAGTATTGGGTGGCGTTTCCATGTTTCCCATGTTTCTTCTTGGTTCTTGATTTTCCAGTTCGTTCAGATTACTTGCCATCGGATTTTGACCTTGGCAATTGCAAGTAAATCCAACTCCTCTGCCCACCAGGCGCTTTAGGCTCCTTCTTTTGGTAGGTTTGTGTACATCCGTTTCTGGACGAGATGCTTGTGTTTCGGGGGGAACCTGTAGTTTTTCCGAGTCTGGACACTGGCAATTTATTCGGGCTTCGGGTTGGCTAGTAAAGTTATGTTCCTCGACATAGACATCTTCGGGGTATCTGAAATATGAATGGAGTAAGCATCAAATTTAAATAGCATAGCAAATAGTTTACCTTCCTGGCTGCCCCCTCCAGTCTTCCCGATATCTATAAAACATAAAATTTGTATGTTTTTTCCTTTGAAGAACTTAAGAATTATACTCTACCTATTCCAACCTGGCTGATAAGATTCGCTGTGGATAAAAATTGAATAAAATCTGCAAGCCAATCAGAGATTCAGGGTTTATAAATACCTGTATCGGCGCCTGTCACTGTGGAAAAAGAAAAGCTAAGTTACGTTTTACTGTATAAGCAGGATAGAATGCTATAGTCGAGTTGCCCGACTATCAGATACCCGTTATTCAGCTAGTGGAAGTGCAAACATGGAATTCCAACATTTTCTGAAATATCGGTAGACATTGGGGAAAAAAATAAAAATGAAAAAAAATGTGGGTGTGGCAAAAAGTTATTTGCAAATTTATAAAATCCTAAAACAATATTTTATATACTACTAGTATATTTTATATTTTATATACTTACTAGTAAGCAAGTTCTTGCTCATTCTGAGGTCTTGGTCTTCCCCTGGGTCCAGTTCCATTTCCAGGTCCTGGCGGTGGGTAATAATAGCTGAGTAACCAACAATACATCATTAATATTTAACATAATTTTTAAAAATATACTTAAAAAGGTGTAAATTTTTAGTACTGTGTGCCCAAATCGCTTCTAATCTTACCCTTGTTGTCCACCACCCGGACTTGGCAGCCCTCTAGATCCCGGACTTGGCAGCCCTCTAGATCCCGGAGCGGGATATCCTCTAGATCCCGGAGCGGGATATCCTCTAGATCCCGGACCTGGATATCCCCTAGGTCCCGGACCTGGATATCCCCTGGGTCCCGGACCTGAATATCTCCTGTATCCCGGACCTGGATATCCCCTGGATCCCGCACTTGAATATCGTTGGCCTTGATATTCCGCACTACGTTCTTGGCCGTACGGTGGTGGATCGTTCTTGCTAAAGAAATACATTTCCTTGAATACATTTCCGTTAAAGCACTAGCTCCTATTACTCACTTGACTACGATCAGCAGGATGGTGGGTTGAGCTGGAGGCTGTGTTGTTGTCCGTGATGGTGAGTTTCCACCTTTGCGAGGTGGAGTATTGCCTTCATTGGGAACTAGGGAACTGCGAATGGAAGAAGGATCTACATCATAAACTGGAGTGCTGATGCCACTTCGATTTGGGGTATAAGCCGTATCATTCAGATTATTGCGATGTTTTTTGTTATGATCGGTATGCCGTTCATTGGCTTCCGTAATGGTAACCACACTGTCTGCCGATTGAAATGTGGACATGCGATTGATGTTGTCCTTATCATTTTTGCGTTCAGCCATGAATCCAACGGGCTCCGGCCAGGGAAGAATATCGGAGTGCCTTAGCACACAGTTCTTGCAGCGACAGGTGTTCTTCTCCGGCTTCTGAGGCGGCTGCTCACAGTACATAATCGCATCTGGCTGTCATCACCACCAACGTCCTAGCCCAAGCCCCTCCAAAGATCTGTTTGAAAGAGAGTCGAAAAGTATACAGTATTTCGAATTTGTTTAAGTTTGATAGGACTGTAAGAGATTGCTTTAAGATCATTATGGACCCATATTATTTATTCCTGCAGGTGGCGCCTTTTAATGTTTATATATTGGACTATCGGAGCGCTTTTGACTGATCCTGTCCTTGGGCTTTATTCGATGCTTTGAACTTCCCTTGTACTTGGATATTGTGGAAATAGATACTTTCCTTATTGGATCCGTTCCCGTCGATATGGAGTTCGGTTGGACCTGCACTCCTTTGTTGCATTGGACATTTACAAACATGACTTTATGGCTTGCTGGCGAAATTCCCTTTTGGTTTTCATTCTTAAGATTATTTCGCTGCTTTAAGGAGGACGTTTTGCAGGTCCTCACAATAGTTATCGGTGTGGGGTGAGTTTCAGCATTGAGCTCCGTAGTGCTGACCGCCATATCGCTAGTGGCTATGATATTTACAAAATCATGTTCACTGTTGGGTTCAAAGTGCATTCGATGGATTTGATCGTCAGTAGTCGTTTCCAGTTCCTTAAAATAGTCCTGCTCCACTTCCAACTCAGCTAGTTTATTGCTAGCACTGCGATACCAGTCATCGTCATCCACCTGCTCCTCTTCCTCCATATAGGAATAGCTAAGGTTTCCGCCTCCTTGGCGATAATCGCGACTAGATCTGTAACTGGATGTTTGAGGGGAACCCAGCAGATACATGGATTCACCACTGGGATGGTAATACACCTCGTGATGGTCCACTTCTTCGTCTGATTGAATACTTGGTGGTGGTGGAGGAGGAAAACCATCAGTTGATTTCAGGCAATGCGCAATATCTGCGCTTTCTTGCCCTACTGAACAGACTTCCTGCCTTCTAAGCGCGCCGCAATGTTCTCTGCAGCATTCCCTTGGACACCACATGGTTGTGCCGGCATCCTTTTTGGATGTTTGCAGGACTTCTGTGAGTTTGTTTCTTTTGAACGGCAGATCCTCGGTGCTACTTCCTTGATTCTGCACATGTACGTGGGTAGTGGACTTTGGCAGGCGTTTACGTTTTCGCTCCTTTAACCAAGGCAAACGTTCGAGTTGAGATTTCCTTTGAAGAGCATTTTCCGGTGGGGCATAGCCATCGAAGGACGGACACGGTGGAACCGACTGCACAATCAGCGGTTGCACAGGTAGCTGCAACACCTGCACCGCTGGTAGTCTTGCCCGCAACTGGTCAATTTGATTTAGGCTAAACTGCAGCTCCTTCTGCCTTAAATAATTTCCTATGTACTCGTTTATCCGGTCGATGGCTTCGCGCATAACATCGGTCAGAACTGAAAGATGGTTTGCTTGAGAGCTACAGCTTTCGTCGTCCTTATTCTCGGTGGAACCCGACTTTTCATGGTGTTCTTCCAGTATTTTGACCTTTTTGTCTTGCAATAAGCTGTCCAATCCCAATAAAATATCCCCAAGCTCATGGACAACCTGCGGCTTAGTTGTATCACACGTTTCTTCAGGCGGAAGCGAGTTTATAGTATCATATTCAAATTTTTCGCCTGCATCTAAGCGGTTAGGGGGCTCAAAAAAATGGCCATAAACATAAGGCAATGCGTTGCTGAAATCAAATCCCCATGGCTGTCCCATCTGCATGGGGTCATACATCGCAGGATAGGTCATAAAGTATGGATCCCTTCTTCGTCGTCTTCGAGTCCTGGGCGCCACAAAGCCATTCGCCTCGATATTAAAGCTTAATCGACGGGTTCTTCGCATCGTGGTGGTTCGGTTTACAATGGGTGCGGAGGAGTCGAGTCTGATCTGGGATCTTCGGTGCCTCTCCAACATTTCTAGAAATCCTCTTATCAACAACAGAGTGTTCACTTGCAAATGGCAGGTGAAAAGCTAATTTTTAAATGAAAATTTTGACAGCTGGTCTAAAAATGTGAACACTTCACGCAGAGCTAAAAATAAATGATTACAAAAGGAGGTTCACTAATTACATATACATACGTTCAGCAAAATAATTCAAATTCGAACCTTTGGTTAAACAAGTCAATTTTTTTATTCGTCTTCTAAAGTTGGTTTTCAAGAAGTGCTTAGAATAATGAGTTAAGAATGAATACAAGCAGAAGTGCGAGCAATCACTGCAGTTCAGCGGAATCAAATGAAGTATGGAATTTTATAAATAATGGTGGCATTACAAGTAGATCTTCACTTCTTCAGGCCCATTGGCTTGCTGCGTACTCCGAAGCGGGAATTCTCGCCGGGTATCTGGCTGCGAAAATGAGCCCACTCCTTCTGGTAGTACTGGAATAGTGCCACCGGATCGCAGTGCTTGGATTTGCCACGTGGGCGAACTAAAAGGGGAAAGCACACAGGGCATAAACATTAAAGCTTCAAGAAAATAGTGTTGAAGATTACTTACCCGCAGCAGATCGCCGATTGGAGGCGCTACGCGGATGCGACTTGCTTCGGCGGCGGCGTTGCATCCTAAGAAGCTCTTCATTAGCTTCGGATTCGCTGCTGGACATAGGAGTTTGCTTTCCACGGCGGGTCTTGCTGCGGCTGCGACGCCTTCCATTCACCTGCGATAGATCGAGAACTGAATCCTCGGCCGCCAGGGGAGGCACAGAAACATCCATCAGGAGTTTTTCTTTAAAGAGGCGAGCTAAGTCCGTAAAGCTGGTCCCACCAGCGGACCGCTCCCTAGGATCGTCATCCTGCTCAGTCTTGCCCTCCTTCTCCTTGGCAGATGCACACGGACAGGATGGTGCCGCATTCTCCTTATCCTTATCCTTTTCCACGCTCAGTTTGGCACGCGAGCTGACGGTGCCGCGTTTATGCAGGCCGCTGAAATCGCTCTCCTTTGCGTTCTGCGCCAGGCGTTCCTCATGCTTGATGAGCTTGCGCAAGTCTAGATTGGGATGGGATCGGATCAAAGAAGTGGCATTAGCAGGGAAATGAGGATAGTGGACAGTGGGCATGACAGTGGGTGTGGTAAATTAGGATGGCAAGATCTAACTTCAAAAGTTACGTGCATTCAAGTGTTATTAGCTTCGACTAACCGAATCTGAAAGGTTGTTTAAGCGTGACACCGACTATTCAACCTAAGGAAGTAAAACTTTGTCCTAGATCAGAGGAGAGCGAAATACACTGAGCTATCGACCCATGCGATGTGCTTAATAAAAAATTAAAACTTTCTTGTGTATGTTTAATTGAATATTTAATTTAATTTACTCTTTGTTTTAATATTTTTACAATTGCTTTTGGTTTTTCGTTTAAAGTTAATTTTCTTCTGTTACATAGTTTACGTTTTTCTTCTTTTGCTTTTTATTTTGCTTGAGCGTTGACTTCGATAATAGTACATAGCTAGGAAAATGAAAACAGTTTAATAAGTGATTTCCACAGTTAAAAACAAAAACGATTAATGGAAACTTGACTACTTAAAAGCTAGGTTGAAAATGAGAGATTTTGGAATAGTCCGAATTGGTTGATGAGAATTATTTGGGGGGCAGGGAATTTGAGCTAAACTAAGATTAAACTAAGGCTTATGTACGTATTTCCGTGTGATTTTGTGTGAGTTTCAATTATGCTACACTTAGCTGTTAAAATGGGATGAATTCTGCTCACGATCTAACTCGATTAAATTTGACGGACTTGATTTGACATTAAGAGTTTTCAGAAAACATTAATGCTGTACGCTTTTCACAATTTTGGCAGTGGTGCTCTTCCTCAAACGAGTATATTAAATGGGTACATTAGGCCACCATTCATTTAATTCTCACTTCGCCAAATGTAATCGGAAATTAAAACTGGAAAGATGACTGAATCGAAATCGCTGTGTTTTTGTGGTTTTGGAGGGATTTGTGGCCTAAAAATACCTAAAAACTGAAACTTATTACTCAACGTCGCTGTACACACTAAAAGCTAAACGTGATTGGTGCTGAATGATGCGTTTCTTGATCTGGATGATGATTAGATGACACAGGTTGCTCAGCGGCGGTATCGAAAGCGTCGAAATGGCGCCCTAAGCCGCCTGCAGGTGACACGCACCTCCTTCTTCAGGAACTGCGAGATGGCCAATGACTTCACAGCAGCCGTCGCCGCTTCGGCGGCACAACTACTCGCCGCCTTTCCATTATTCGGTGGCGCATACTTGGAGATGTCAAACTTCCGCTTCGGCGTCGTCTGGTGTGGACAATGCTCATGCGAATCGCCTGCCTGGGTGTTGCTTAAATCCAAATCGGTATCCAAGCCGTCGGAGGATACCGTGAATATGTCGGAATTGTCACCCAGTTTCTCACTTGGCGAAATGCAGCTGCCTAGACTTCCGTTTAGCTGGGGAGTTCTTCTCTGGTGCTGTTGGGCTTGCCCCGTACTCGGTGTGGAGGTGGCCTGAAGTCGCTGACCATTGTGCAGGGTAAGCAAGAGTTTCTTGCTTTGTGCAGAGGCTTCAGGAGGCGTGGTTACCGATATGGAAGGTATTCGTGCTCTTTTTTCAGGGGGCTCAGTTTTCTGCACGCCGATGTCCTGCTCCTCGTAGGCATCTTCAAAAACATCTTCGTCCTCCTCCTCCTCTTCTTCTTCCTCGACGTCCGCATCAGTTGCCTCGATTTCCGCCTCAACGTCCTGCTGCTGATCCACAGAATCCGCCATGGTTTCATCTTCGTCGGGCAAACTTTCCATTTCATCCGCCTGCGGTTCAGCCTGTTCATCAACATCGGTCGCTGGCGGAGTCATCACGGCATCTTCCCGGGAATTCTGCTTATCATCGGCAGGTGATTCACCAGAGGGCGAATTTCCGCCTCCTTCATCATCTTCATCGTCTTTGCTAAGCAGATTTCCTCTCGTCCCAGAAGTCATAGTTGTTGTGGTGGTTGTGGTCTGCTCCTCTTCCGTTTCCATAGGCTCTTGCTTTATAGGGTGAAGCTCAACCAGACCCATTTTCTGGAAATTAATACGCTCATCTGGCATAGATCGACTGCCACCTAGTCCGCCAGCATTTCGTCTTCTCTGAACTTTTGGCCAGCCCGTGCGATTGGACTTCAGGCTCTTCTTTTTCCTATAATAGCTGGCATATAGATTGAGGTTGTTCATCCGTCGACCGGAACCAGGTGGGTTTCCTCTGCAAACATCTTCATCTTCATCTCCACTCCCTGCACTTCCCAGTATTAAATCACACAGGTCGAACTCGCTTGTAAAGCAATCAGTAGGCGGTGGAGTTTGTGGGGTGTTAACAAGCCTTTGTTCTCTATCTTCAGTCTCCACCTCCGCTGATATCTCGTCTTCCTCCATATCGTACTCTTTGCCAGCTAGCTCCAGATACTTGTCTAACTGCCAAGCAACGAAACCGGGATTGCAATACTGACGGGCTTGATCCAAAGCTTTAAGGGCACACGGTTCCATTTCGTATTCGAGCAAACCCTTCTTGCTGGGCAATTTGCGGACTCCGCGTAACGCACCCGTTCCGGAAAGATGTTGGGTGGTCGGACGCACTGCGCCTGCTACCGGAGGATTCACTCTTCTGTTGCGCTTGCCCAAGAGCGCTCTTGCTGAGGATTCCCTTTGACTGTTTGAGAATTCCAAGCGGCGCGAATACATCTGACCGGGATTTCGAGCAGCAGGTATCAGGCGGCGACTCCTGACGGGTGAAGAAGTTGCGGGCGTAGGAACTGGCGCTGGCGGGGAATGATCATATTTGTTTTGTCCCCGCCTCATTCTCTTTACCGTCTCGCTAATCTCGGTGGCAAATCGAAGTTCCTCAACAGGAGTGGCTGCTTGAGAACGAGTAGTTCGGGGCGATGAAGGTGCTGCTGGTTCCTGTTTTATAGGAGTTTTAAGCTTTGGTGCAGCTACAGGAGGAGGTGGCTCTTCTGCTTCTGAGTTCGTTTTACTTTGTGAGTCCTGACGCTGCCTTATAATGCAACTGACCAAGGCCAAAGTAGAAGCATGTTCTCTAGGGGATTTTCTTGGTGGTAATTCGGCAATCCGTGCCAGCTGCTTATTCCTGCAGGTAATTCCGCTTCGTTGACTGTTGCTGCAGCTTGAACTGGATGTACTCCGGACTCTCTCTATCAGCTGCACTCTATCCCCCAAAGAACCCGAGGCGAACTCCCTTTCCAGTAATTCTGGTGTGCTCGCCTTGCTATCACATTTGGCTGTGGCAGTGCTCAGGGCATTTCCTTCCAGCTGCTGCAGTTGCTCCTGTTCCTGCTGATAACGCTGGAGAAGATGGAGCTTTTTGTTCTTGTAGGTCGCGGAGGAGGAAGAGGACTGGACTTCCTCCTCCTTCTTAACTTCCTTCTTGGGTGTGGACTTCTGATCTTCCTGCTTGATCTGCTCTTCCTTATCCTGCTTTACTTCGCTTGCCTCGCGGCACAAAGCACAACTGTGTGCTGGCAATGTTTTGGCCATGGGTATGGGACCCATTTCATAGGGCAGTTTCCTATAGTTAGTGCTACCGTAATACGTGTAATAGTTCTCTTCGCCCGCATCCTGTCGCAGAAAGACTCTATTCCAAAGCTCTCCACTTGGCAACGATTCGAAGGTATACTGCATTTCCTTAAGTCTTTCGCTTTTACTGCAATCAAAGAATAAATCTATCGCTGGTGGCACTGCCTTTGGCTGTTTGACTTTACTTTTCGTGGGACTTGACGATTTCTGGCTCTTTGCCCTACTTCTTGAAGGAGATGTTTTGACCTCGGTTAACTCCAGCTCTCCGGCACTACGGTTTATGGTTAATCTGGAAAGCCGCCTAGCTGCTCTTTGTTCTCGAGTATCCGTTGATTTACGCGGAGCTGCCGTGATTCTACGTTGGCTACCAGCAATGTAGTCTTCATCGCTGCCACTACTGCAACTACTGTCCAATTCCTCATCTAATTCTTTATCTAATATGTCTTCCAGTTCTTCCAACTCCTTCACTTCAATAGCTTCCTTCTTTATTTTTATTTTGGGCTTTTCTAATTCCCCCATCCTATCCTCCAGTTTAGTGACCACTTTCCGGCAAGTTGTCTGCCTTAACTGCTGCTGCTGATGACTGCTGGCGGTGGCTGCCGTCACAATTGCCGTGGCTGTGCGACTGCTTTTCCTGGTGGCCACCAATTGCTCCTGCTTTATCTTAATCTTTAGCTGCGGCTGTGACTGCGGTTGGGGCCCTTCTTCTGGCTGGATGGGGGCGCTTGGAAAGCGCTGCTGGTTGCTATTGCTGCTACTGCTGCCTGTTGATAATTGGCGTTGGAAAACCTCCTGTGCCGCTGCTCCACCTGCTTTTCTTCGCTTTCCCACTGCTTGAGCTCGCTTGCGTATACTAGAAGTAGGTAATCCTGAAGATTCCTTAGTTTCTGCTTCGCTGGTGCTAGTGTCGAGGCTGGCGGAGGATATACTGCATCTGCCTCTTACATCCGAGGTGGTTTGTCGATCGATATCCGTGGGCAACTCACTGCTGCTCCTTGTGTTTGGTACCGCTGTCCTGGGAAACATAAAGTTCTCTGCCTCTCCATTAAGTCGTTGTAACTCTGTTTGTCGGATCTTTTGGAACTTTACAATCAGTGAGGGCGAATCGACTTGGTTGGAAGGTCTTCCTCGGCCTCTGGGAGGCGTGACACATTCCTCCCTAGTTTCTACTACTTTATAAATTGAAGAAGGCGGTAACATGGCTCTCTTAGGAGGTGACAGACTGGAGTTCTGTGTTTTTCTTCGTCCTGAATTTGTTGTGGGCGTTGCTGCAGCTGTTGTCGGATGTTCCTGACGCTGAAGCTCAGAAAGACTACCAGGCAGATTGCTTTGAACCTTCTTGCCACCAGGGAAAGGCGTTTGAGGTGATGCAACTGCGACTCCTTGAAACTTTTCTGACGAATGCTTTCCCTTGGTTATCCTTTTGGACTTCTCGCGCAACGCTGGCGACGGCCTCTGACGCGGACTCTGCAACTCCTCATTACTCAACGATTCATCGACATCCATGTCAAGTTCACTCTCTGGGGGCTCCTCCTCCAGGAACCTATTTACATCCGCTGAACTTCGAATTAGAGTGTCTAGAGACAGGAAATTATCCGAATTCTTGGCAAACAGCTCGTGATCTTTGCTCTGCAAATGGATATTCAGGATATCGTACTCCAATTTGCAGATCTCACACACGCCACCCTGTTTTTCACTCGAATCTATTGGTTCGCGACAATTAGAACGCGGACTATTCGGGATTGCAGACCGTTTTTTAAGTTCCTGCAAAGAAGGATGCTGGAGTGGCTTTTCTTCCCCAGCTGCTGGTTTGTCTTTCTGTGATGTGCGTGAACCCAAAGACTTGCGGGTCATGCTCTGCTCCTTTTCCTTGGTCTTCGACTTTGTTAGTAGTCGAAAGGCGCCGTCTTCGCTGCTTAAATCTATCTTTGGCCAGTCGTCTGGCTGTTTGATAAGATGATAGTAAGGTCTATAATTACGCTTGACGGATTCGATCTTCACATACTGCTTTTTCAGTTGTATGTGATGGGGGCTAGCTGATGCTGATCCTCCTCCAGCTTCCTTCTTACCCTCAAGGTATTGCTTAAGCTCGGTCTGAATGCGCTTTATGAAGCGTTGGGCGTAATCCGTCTGCCAGATGGTATAGCTCCGTTTTAAGGATGTCGAGGGTGTGCTATTGCCGCTGCTTGCCACCCCAACCGTGCTCCTCCGCACACGACTTAGTATTGCATCCGCTCTTGATTGCCTCTGATTCGGTTTTCTTGCCGAACCATCATCTTGTTGGAAGTGATTGGTGGGAGTGCTGGGTGTGCTGGGTGTACCTGGTGTTCCGGGGGTTCCGCTTATGATCTCTGGCTTATCAGTGACAAAGTGTGTTATATTGTCACTGAGAAAGAACTCGAGATGTCCACCCAAAGCTTTGATGTCGGACTCAATGCGCTTGGCTAACTGATGATCGCAAATATCCAGATAGAACTTAAAGTGGCACAGGGGGCGTTTGCTCTTTATGACCTTTACTTTAGGAGGAGTTGCTGCTGTTGCGGAAGCTGCTGCTGTTGAGTGGCTAGTTGTTGTTGCGAGTCTGCTGGCGCTTTGTTTGTCCGACTGCGGTTGCATACCTTCTGGCGCAAATTAGCTGCAGCCAAACGGACCCAGAATTAAAGAGAAAAAGAAATTGTAGAAAACGCCATTAATTAAAATGTATCTTGAAGGTCTGACCTACAGTCGAATTTTTACAAATTAAAGTCAATGATTTAGGAATTTTCTAGGAAATAAAGTGAAAAATTAGTGTACATATGCTTTATGTAAAGTTTAATTTAATGAAACTTAAGATTTGGCAATTGCGCCCAAAGTTTAATTTTAATGACAGACCATACATAATTACACAAATAATTTGAATAAATCAAATAGTCTTATTACTGTGTTTAACAAATATTTCAAAACATTTTAATCAAAACAAGAACTGCACTTTAGAATTTTCCCTCCAATTTTAGTTGGAATGGAGTTATACCAGTTTGAGCTGTAGTTATAACCGTATATCTAATAAGTTTGGCTTTAAACATTTATTCAAAATTCGACCGTAGCTGAAAATCCAACACCAACCGCGTTTTAACTTATTTGCCACGAAAAATGAAACAGAACTAAAAATCACTGTGGTGGAAATCCTACTCCCGGTGGCTCTTCTTCTTCTTGCTCCTTGTACGTTTCCCGATGTGTGTTATGCAATTTTGCATTCGGATACACACTAATCAAATCAATAGCTGCACTTGGATGCATTTCGGTATGTATTGCCTAAAAGGCCATCGAGTGTTAAGTGTGAGTTAATTTATTTAATTCCAAACTAAATGGGACCACAGAAACACAACCCAAGCGGGTGGAAGAAGAAGAAGCAGCAGCTGTGCCGCAGCATCGAGCTGCCAGGTCGGGCTACACTTAATGAAGCGTTGCCAGCACGCGGGAAAATTTGTGGTGACACAGCTGCAACAAACATTATACTGTGTGGCTGAATTTGATTAAAAACCAGTTCTTTTTTAATCTTCCTTTGGCGAAAATACAAAACAGGCACAAAAATCTCATGTACAAGAATAACGATTTAAGAAAGGACTGTCAGTTGGTGCTGATAATTATTTTTAATCGCTGATTCTAAGCTTCTGCTTGTATATAAGCAATAATTAATAAATTGAATTTTGTACATTTATTAATTTTTTATTTACTTTATGAAATTACTCATAACAAATAAAAATATATACATATGTTATCGTTGCATTTCTTGCTCATTTGCGCAATGTATGGCTTATCGCATTCCATTCATATTTGTTGTTTTGGCTTTTTACGTCTGCCAAAAAACAATGCGAATGAGCTACCAAAGGCATAATGGCCGATGACCGATATTAAACTCGAAATGACAATTAGTCCGGCAACCCTGTTGTGCTCCGTATTCACCCACTAGTAAATAAATGATATGTCTAGGCAATATGTACTGCCGCGCGTCGATATATATACAACCCGAAAAACGAGCACATCAGCACGCTGCGCTGGCACTTTTTCTGCCCTCGCTTTATATTTGCCATTACAACACAAAACGTTGGCGCAAAGAAAAACGAGAGAAAACCAAGTGGCAACCCTCAAGCGCTAGCAGTAGCAACAACAACAAAGGAAAAAAAAATAAGAAAGAGTAGCAGCAAATAAAGCGTAAAGGCGAAGAATAACACGAAAAACGCACAACACACAAAAAGAGTGGAAAGACGGGGAAAAAACAACACACACACAAATCATGTATACAGTTGCGGTGGAAATTATAGAACTGTCAATTTATAGTAACCGAAATAGTGATTTTGTTTAGTCCACATTTTGTGCAATCGCTGCTAAAAATATATATTTGAAAATATCATTTTTCTTTTTGATATTTCAAATTCAAATATTACATCGACATTTCCCTAGCGCTATACCCGCTGCTGTACGTATACATATGTATGTTTGTGGATAAAATTCATGTGAAGTTGCGGATGAAGCTTACAATGTGGTGGAGGCCGAAACACACTGGCAAACGCTGAAAAGCAGGCCCAGGGCAGCAGCAACAACAACTATGACTAGCAAGCCAAAAACAAATAACACACAGAACAGTGGGGTTACAAGAGCCATGTGTTTGGGCTTTCCACTGAAATGTATTTATGCCAAAAGTTAGATGAACCTTGCAAATGCAGTTTTCCATCGATGTCGGGCGGGCCTTTATTCGATTATTCATAAAAACATATGTGGTCCGAATGAATTGTGTTGCTGCAAACCACTGTGCCACGGGTATGTATAGTGTGTTATTCACAATTTCCAAGTAATACTCGTTTTTATATTTTCCTTTTTCCATTGCTCCGTATTTCTGGCTGTGCCGCTCTGCTCTTTTACTCGCCTGTGCTTTGTACGCACGTTCGTTGGGTGAATAAAAACAAATTGAAATGGTGACGAATCGTTTGAAATTCTGGCAAAAAGCCGCAACCAAATAACATAGTGCATAAAAAATAACAAACCAAAAACAAGCACATACACACAAACACACACCCACACGCACGCACACTTGTACGGATTGCTTACCTTTTAGAAATTCACGGAGTTGCTCGGCTGATATGTTCCTATAGCCCAAATCATTTAGATACTGGAGAATGGCCCGTGCATCTAGTGGCAAATGTGACATTTTACTTTTCGCCAAGTAGAGCAATCGTTCTTGATATTCGTATTGTTAATTATTTTTTGTTTATATTCCACCCTCACACATGCACACGCGCGCGCACTCGGGAACACACAAACACACACACGAATGCAAAATAGCCGTTCGTTTCGTTTCTCTTTCTCGTTTGTTTCGTTCGCTTCTTCTTCCTTTTGTTCGTATTCGTCTTCGTGCGCCGACAATCGACCAATTTTCACTGTACTTTTGCTCTGCGTTGGCCGTTTTTGATATTATACTTGCATTTAGTTGCGTCAAGTTAATCAGGTGCAATGACTAAATATACACAACTGTATGGGAACGATCGGCTTAAGCGTCTATTTGCCTTCGTTCGCCTGTCGTTTGCTAACGCCTTTGTTATTTTTACGCTTTTTATCTGGTTTTCGCGGGCGAAGGGTCGCCAATTCGATTGTGCACGCACAGTTCGAGTGTCGAGATTGGGCTTTTTCTTATTTTCACATATTTCCTCGCTAGTTTTATAACAATTTTCACCAATTGAAAATATAGTGTACACGGACAGGGCAGCGCACACACGCTCGGCAACCAAATTTTCGTCGAGTTATCGATAATTGTGCTGGCTGGCGATGGCCGATGGTTGCTAGGCGGCGTGACTAAGTCGTGGAATCTTATCGTTTTTAGGGAACGAGTCACGGTTTTATACCTTTACAGGAGGTCTAGTTTATTCTGATTACTCGTTTGTTGCGATGAGAGACATGAATTCCTAATTTATTTGCTTAAAAATAATAACCATAAGAAGTAAAATAATTATTATGTTTATAAACAATACGGAAAATGATTTTTCGAACGTTGCGATTTGATATATCGAAAGCGAAGGCTGTCGCCATGTATCGATAAGCAACGGCAGTCCGTCCCTATCAGCAACGCGAAAGGTTTTTGTCTTGCTTTCTTGTTGCTTTGTGTGATTCTCGAGTCTGTGTTCTGCGTCTGCGTCTGCGTCCCGTTCTTGTGGCCAAAAAGAGAAGAAAGAAAGAAAGAAAGGCAAACGAACTGTTTTCGCCTCGCGTTCGTGCTCAATCGTTCAATTCGAAATAAATTAAAAATGTCTCGCAGTTCGTACCTGTTGTGTGTGCTGTTTTTAGGTGAGCTAAAGAGAGGGAGAAAAAATGATGAAATCGCCCCGCGATCAGATTTTACGGTAACGTATCTCGTTGTTGCAGGCGCCAGCTGCTTGGTTTTCAGTGCGAGTGCATTGCGGAACAATCGAAGGGGTTACAAGGCCACGGAGCCGCCCACCACCACCCAGCCCCCGCTGACTGCCAAGGAGTATCTGGATAGTCGACCCGGAATCTCCACATTCGGCATCATCGCCATCATCTTCACCGTTATCGTTCTCTGCCTCGTCTTCTACTACGGCATCATTTGCTACCCCTTACTCTGCCGCGATGAGAAGAAATATCGGTTTATGGACGTATCCTCAACCATTACCGCCGCCACATCGCGTTCCATTCAGTCCATAGAGAACTATCCCGACCAGAAACACCACCATACGTTGGCCTGATTCGAGGTATGGACACCCGGAGGATAGTGGTTTAGTAGTACGTCTATTAGTAACTCGAAAAAGACTTAAGGCAGCCAGAAACGAAAATCCATTAGTATGACTACAGATTTAGGTCCTAGGTTTTGACAAGAAATATCTCGAATTTTATCTCTATAAACCCTTTACATTTTTTTAAACATAGAAGTTCCAAGTACACCAAGAAATTGGCTGCTCTAAATTCAAATCCCCATATTTTTTATCGAATTTGGTAACGAAACATAAACCTAATGATTCTTGCCATTTGCACTTGGATCTATAGTACATAGCAATAACCAGTTAAGGAGTTCACTGGAAAGGGAATTAATCATTCATAATTGTAACTTGGTTTTCCTACGCATCCCCCGACTGTTTCTTTATCTGCTATTCCTCTTAATCCCGGACTCAACAAGTTTGGCCTGTCCTCTGGCCCTTTTCCTTGTCCCTCCTGCATCTTTGGCCTTTTTTATTGCCTTTCATGCAGGTAGTTTTAGCCGTTTACTCACAGCTTTGTTCTCTGTTCATTTTTTTGTGTGGGACAGAGCCAAATTGTGGCAATTGAGTCACGTTGCCTGGTTTGCCTGTTTCTTTCGAAATCCCAGGGAATTCAGAGATCTTTTTATACCGTCTTCACGCAATCCAATTTGCATTCAGAATCCGAATCGTATTAACAGACGAACTCTTTGTGATGCCTCGAATTTTCGAGTTTGTCCATACATTTCAAAATGCCGATTCCCGTCCCTTTATACTTACCATACAGGTTGTACTTAAAGCGAAACGAAGTACTTAATAAATATACCATGCCAATCATAGTTTAAGCGCCAATCTGCCGCCACGAATACATTTAAGCAATCTTCAGTTTGTGCATTTAGACCAGAATGGGTATCCTTCTATACATTGTGTCAAAATACGTTTTTAGACGTTTCTAGCATTAAGAGTATCAAATTTTATATACAAATCTTTTTGGACATTTTTATGTGAGTTTTACATAAAATAAATGCTTTTACCGCCGCAAGCGGTAAAACGGTGAAATTCTCACCCTTTTTTGGGAACTTTGGGTTGTATTGAACTAAGCAAATTGATTTAAAAGAATTCTTCTTTGATTTATTAAGAATTTATATAAATACAACGCTCCGTTGGAAAAAATCTTTGAAAAGCAAATGTATTTATCACTTGGGAATGCTTGGATACATTTGATGATTCATTTCAAATAATATATAACTTATGCATTTTTTGAAACTCGCTAAGCACGAAACATTGCTACTGTGTACATTACTATTACCAACTCCCTCCTTTTCCGAACCCTATTAACACCTTAAAACCATAATTTACACGTTTTGTTGCACAGTTTATTCAATTTGTGGTACATAGTTTATATGTTCGCTGGTTTCGATTCATTTAGATCTATGTGAGGATGGTAAAAAAAGCTAATAGATATAATTAAGAGTTATATATATTTAGATACGCTGGCTGACTAATGAATATCATTCAGAATGCAAGTGTTTGTTAGTTTAATAAGTGGAAAATTGAGCTTGGGCCGCACAGTCTTGATCTCCGATCCTTGAAGCCTTACAGCTCGTCCTTATCCAGATCGATGTCGCTCAGATCGATGTCCTCCTCGGTGGGCAGTTGGCCATCTTTGCCGTCCCAAGGATCCACGGACACAATCGCTGGCTTCGCGGCTCCGCGAACGGGCGCCGTGTGGCCGCGTCCATAGGAGATGTCGCGCAGGAACTCGTTGATGCCGTCCTTGGAGAAGGAGCCCTTGAGCACGGAGAATTTCATCTTCTTGAAGTTGACCACAGCCATGGCGGGATAGCCGAATCCACCCACTTCGAGGGACTCTTCCAGCGCCAACTGCTGGCCACCTTCTGACCAGGCCCAGCCCCAAAGCTTCTGCTTGAACTTCTCGCCCAGCGTGCGCAGTGTGTCGAGGAACTTGTTGCGACACTTGGCATCGCAATCGAGAATGTGTGGCAGAACGGACACGATGCACAGTGGCTTGCCTTCGCAGGCAGTTTCAAAAGTGGCTTCATTGGTAATCTCGATGAGTTCGGGGGCTGGCACATTGGCCACATGCTTGTCACCGGCCCAGGACACAATATCCGAGGCAGTGCGTCCTCCATCATACTCCTGGGCATCACTGGCTCGCTTGGAGCCCGCGGGGAAGAACTTAATGGTAGGGTAACCACGCACATTGTATTCGGCGGCCTTGCTCTGATGCGCGGTGGCATCCAGGGCGCCCAACTTGACCTTGCCCTTCAATTCTTTGGCGGCCTTGGCCCATTCGGGTGCCAGATTCTTGCAGTGACCACACCAGGGTGCGAAGAATTCCACCAGCCATATGTCGTCGGAGTTCAGGACCAGTTTGTCGAAGTTGTCCTCGGTAAGTTCGATGACATCATCGCCGGATGAGCTGCCGGAGCCGCCGGAAGACGATCCACCACCGCCGCCGCCGCCCAGGACGCCCTGCACCTTCTTCTTGACCTCCGCCAGAGCGGCCTCAGCGATGGCCTTAGCGGTACGCTGACCATTGTAGTCCGTGGGCGACTTCTTGTTGGCGCCAAAGATCTTGATGGTGGGAAAGCCACGTACGCCGAACTGGCCGCTCAACGAGCTGTCCGCATCGGCATTCACGGAACCGACCTTCACCACACCCTTCAATGCCTTGGCCAGCTTCTTGTACTCGGGCACGAGGCTCTGGCAATGGCCGCACCATGGAGCATAGAACTCCACCACCCAGATGGCGTCGTCTTTCAACACCTCCCGGTCGAAATTGGAGGGCGTCAGCTCCACGACGCCATCGCTGGGCGAGTAGAAGGCACTAGCGCTGCCCACGACAAAAGCCAGCAACAAAATGCTCGCTGCGGAGGCGTATGGAAAAACGTATTATTAACATAAGTTTGGTTATTTCTTGCATGGGCCGAAAAACTTACCCGGTTGCCTCATCTTTGTTGAGTTGCTCAAACCGCTTACGTGTCTATCTCTACGGGGCTTATCTCAGCGAATTCTTAATCAACGCGTCTTGGCAGTAGGCTCTTTTTAACTAAACTGTGTGCAGAGATGCGGCTTATATTTTGCTAAAAAAAAATGAGTACACGTCACTGCGAGTGCGGCGTACTCGCGATAGTTCGATAGGCGATTTATTTGGTGGCCATCGATGGAGAAGCTGAAGCCGGCAAATACAGGTACTGCCATACGAGTGCGAAATTCATCGAATTCTTTATATTTTACAAAAGAAAAGGCGTAGCTCTTTATATTTTTAATTCAAGCTGTGTGAAATTACATATAAAGAAAGCGAAATGCGCTCAGTCACTATCGATATATTTCGGTATTTTAGATTGGTTCTAAAATTCCTGCAGTGCTGCCAGATTAGTACAAAAATGAGCTTATGGGCGACACCGTCTATTTGGCGGGGATTTCAAAGTTGGCTTCTTAACAATTTATTAAAATCATTGCCTAAAACTTACATTTTATGAAATTCCATCCTGTACCTTCGACATAGAAACAACTTTCGGTTTCAATAAGGACCCCAATATAATACTTTCTTTGTCTTTAATATTAACTCTATCTTATTATTGGCTGTTTTGTAAGAATTTACTCTTTTTTTTTAGGCAGCGTTACAAATGTAGTAAAATAAAATACTTTATAAGCCTTATTTAGTTTTATTCAAATATTAAAGGTACTCTTGCGCTTCCACTTCATTTTATTTACTTATTTTATCATCCTTAATTGTTAATTTACTTTGTTAGTTTCCCCTTTTAATTGTTTCTTTTGCCAAAGTTATTTAATTTGTGATTCTGGCAGCTTTGGTTTAATTTACTTGCACATTGTCCTAACTCACCAGCCCCCCCGACCACCCACCATTCGAATGACCCCTGACCCTCCCCATTTTCGTCTGCGTTCGTTGCGTGCGCATATGAGATAAAATATGTGGTCAATTTTACTTAATAGCGACTTAGTAGTAGTGTTGCCAAGATTTATGTGACGTTCATATTGGTACAGAAAGACACAGAGCCAGACAATTTCCTTTTGCGTTTCTGCCATTCAAGGGTTAATTGGGGAAGCTGTTCAGTCGGGGGCTGGATTTTCCCTTTATTTTGCGTGTTATTTTTATGATTATTGAATTTTAATGCATATCGAATGCACACATAAAGATTCAATGACACAAAGTCATAACTTCTCGGCCGGCTACAAAAACGGTGGGTGTGGCCAACCCTTTTTCCGAAAGCAATGTTTATGCCACATTTGGTGTTCACTTCTTGCTTTCAGCATAAAAAGGCGTAATATTTGTATTAGCTTCGGTAAAAAAACGAGACTGGCCCCAGATAAACTTACTACACTGAAAAAAATAGTAGCGTGTGACACAAGAATATTAGGCGCAAACCGTTTTATATGTATTTTTTTAACCATTTATTTCAAACATTTAATGATAAGCGTAAGTCCATTTAAAATTAGTGTTTCTACGTTCTTCAGTTGGCTAGAATTCGGCTCAGTGCTCGTACTTCTTCACACTGGCTTATCAAACAAACAATTTGAATGCCCAGCGGAGCGATCTTTTTATTGATACGCTACTTTGAGGGTGCGGCACGAGTATTAACCCCTTGTTGCCATTGCTCCTGCTTGATTTTATTTTTGCCCATGTTGTTGTGTCTGCACTTCTGAGTTGCCCTGTCAAAACACCTTTTCCGAAGGATGTGCGTCTGTCAGAGACTTCAGCCTTCCAGATGTGCCAAGTACTCACTTGCAAAAATTGCTATTTTCATAAAAAAATAATTATATATTATATAAAAAAATATACAAAATTTCTTCTCTCTTATAAATACCTATATAAAGCATAAAGAGCAATGAAATATAATAATGAATATCAGGAAGCTAATTGCTTGATTTTTAAACCTATTTTAAGCAAAAGAATATTTTGTATCTTTACTTTACTTTAAATTAAGGAATATATTGTATATCTACACTCTCAGCTAAAATATATTTCACTTCTACATAGTTACCACTTGCGAATTTCCCGGCCTTTTTTTCAGTGTGGTCCTGAACCTTGAGATGCCTTTTTATTTTATCATCGAATGCCATTTTGCAACGTGTCATATTTACACTGCGGATTTGTCCCATTATTCACTTGACAACACCACGAAGATCCCTTCGACTTCCTTTTTCCATTTTTTCCATTTTTTCCATT